GTCACATAAACCCTAGGGGGTACAAATACATAAATCACTAACTGGCATCGTTATAAATGAAACCCCGTCATTAAAACTACTCATTTCGACGTTTAATTGACTTAAATCGACCTTTTTGACAACAGTGCACAATTCTCACCCGCGAACGAAATTTCAACCAATCAGAGCGGCGCGTCTCTGTGACGTCATATGAGGAATAGCTTTGAGGGCCGATGCAGAATTCATCTACATTTTAGGGGGTAAATTATCTTGTTTACAGGCTTGTATTAACCTGAAATCGTGACAATCGTTGTGGAAAATGAAAGCTATATGTTCTCACAATCTACTGTCATTTTATTTTGTCTCCTGCTTTGCCTAGTTTGAGTTACAACTTGTTTTCATAGACGATTCTGTCAAAATCGATTGGTGTCGTTAGGCCCTATTTGTATAATGACTGATCTAAATTGATCCCATTTCTGTGTTTTTTTACCTCGATATTTAATCATGTCATGTAAAAATCTGTTTGTATTCTCAAAACAGTGTCGGCCCATAAGTTTTCACATGCAATACAGCAATTAATACTCCCTTGTTGTAACCCGTGTTAGGTGGTAGAAACCTACACATGTTATTTGTCATCATTCACTTGATGGTCAGTTAATGAATTTATAACAGGTATAATTAGTGGTAACACACTTAGATTACCCGACAAAGGTTCCCATTTGGCATTTCTTGTGTCTGGAGTAAATATTCAACATTATATACATCTATCAAAGGATTAACCGATAACACGCTGATTGATTAATTACTTTTATCTTACACAGCGGAATTGTCAAAAGGTAGTGTTTATGTATGTAGATTTACTAATCCATACTGAATACACTCTGTCGTGTCGGTGTCTGCGTAAAAACAACGTGCTTCGTTCAAAGGATTAACCGGCAATACATTGATTGATTGCCCATTATTGGCTAACTAAATTACTGTTTTTAAAGAAAGGCGGACATTATGCAATTAGTTGCCAGGTGTGCTATCTTGGTCGACCAATGAGACTATACACCAATATCTGAAAAGATTGATCACTTTTTCGTATATTAAACTGTTAAAAGACACATCATTTGGAACAGTTTTGTGGATATTGATGGATACATTCCTCGAACAAGGTAATGGCCTGATATTGTTCCTATAACTTTAATCTGTTTTAATTTTAATATTTGCATTTTGTTTTTATTCATTTGTCGTAGCATTCAACAGAATCATTGTTTTCGCCGTGAAGTGTAATGAGACAGACAACATACACTAGGGTGTGTGTGCGGATTATGATTCCCATTGGCAAACTATAAAATGTCTAGCTATTACAGTTCTGTTATAAATTCACTATAAGTATCAGCAGATCGTCTGCTTTTTATTTAGTTTCAAAATACATACAAGTATGATAACAAACTAATTAGGATTATAAGACCAAATATAAAGACGCACATTGACTAGTATCTACATACTGGTGAGTGGACATTAACCATGTGACAATGAAAGACATCATGTGAATGTAGCAAGAAATTTATCGCGCAGTATTGTAACTTCGACCCCCACCTCGCTTCTGTGGAAGAAATCGTTATGTTATAAGTTGTGTCATGCAAAATCCGTTTGGTTATGATTCCAATACATATTTAACTACGAGTAGAAAGTAGTTTTGATTTTCTAACTTGATGAAAACAAACTATAATCTCATTAATTCTAACAGACTTTACGATTTTCAAAAATGGCGACGCCCTGTCGGGAACATCCGCCAGTCTGAGGATAAATGCTATTTAGGTTTGTTTTCACCGAGTTACAAAATCAAAACTACTTTCTACTGGTAGTAAAATATTTGTTTTATTGATGGCCAATAGGATTTTGCATGACATAGCGTATAACATAACAATTAACAGCGAGGTGGGTGTCAATATAATACTACTTACAATATTATTGTTACTTAGACCACAACCTCACTTCCGAGGAAGAAATCGTTATGTTACAAGTTGTGTCATGGAAAATCTTTATGGTCATCAATCATATACATATTTTACTACAACTAGTAAGTAGTTTTGATTCTTTAACTTCCGTGAAGCGATCTGAACACAAGTAAGATATCGTTTCAGGCTTCCACAACGCCGCTTTGCACTCACAAACATAACCCATTTAGCACGAACTGCTGCGGGTCCTGTGGAAATCTGTGCATGGTGACACCATCGCCCGACCCCTAGGAGCAATTGACGACAAAGCAACGATTCGGCATGTCGTCGTTGATGTCGAGAAATCATCAAAATGATGAGCATGCTACACACTTTCTATACAACCAACTGAAAATCGTTCCTCATATGATGTCACTGCAGTGCTCTGGCGACAGAGTTACGTAACCTGTATGTGGTTTCGTTGGCGGGCGAGAGGGAAGCAGGCGACTTTTTGGCCACTTTTAATCGCTCGGTATTAATTAACCACAAGTTTTTAAAGAATAAATTTGGTGTTCCGCATAAGACTAACCACAAATCTTTCATATGAAATGGTTAAAAGAATAACAAAAAACAAAGTTTAGTGGTTCTTTAAGCTGTGTTTGCTCGTTCAGAAGCAACATGGGTACAATATGTGAAGCCCATTTTTGGTGTCCTGCTGAGATATTGTTAGAATATTGCCTGCAGCGGTGTAAATCCGCTTTCTGTTGAACCACTTGAACTTGAACCCCTTTTTGTTGAACTTCATGTTTAACATTTTCATGAATAACCCTTTCCCGTTGAACCCTCCTTTTGAACCCCTTCATGCATAAATTCAACATCAACAATCTATGGATCTATTCTTATGAATTGTACTGATACGATTTTATGTGTATGCCAAGTTAATTAGATATTCTTTCTGTTAAATAAAATACTAGATAGCTGACAAGACATGATAATAAACGCAGGTGCAGCCAAGTATGCCTGGGTGCAGGACTCAACAATAGATCATTCATCCTTAGGCTAGCGTGATCAGTTAGCCCAAAGGGTGAGTGAGACAAGCATTATTGTGACAATCAGTACTGATCTGGAGAATTGTTCCTTTATTGCTGTTGTTCTTTAAATGATGGCTCTCGAGGGAGGGTTCTTGTGGCAGAAAAGTTGCATTTGCAGGGGTTGAAAAATACCACTGCCCGACGCCCGAGTGGAATTCTCCGGTCAGTCAAGTAAATATCCACATTAAACTTTACCTTGGTACTGAGAGCCAAAGTGCTGAAATGTTTTGATATATGCATTTTGATAATGAAATAAAAATGCAATTGCTACCAATTGATAAAGATTATTTGCAAAAGAAACCAAACTGTAGATTGTGGTCAATGGAAATTAATATTTGGTCAAGTGGATTTTGAAAGGCTACTGGACCTGTGTCCAGTGGAGTTCTTAAAATTCTTTCAACCCCTGATTTGGCATGTTGTAGACAATACATGGATTGTTTTGGTGACCATAATTGGTGTTGACTGTGAAGGTTGCGATGTTTTAGTGTGATGTAATGTGTTGTCTCACTTCTTGGATCCTGAATCATTGATGTTCATGGCGTCAACCACTTGTCAAACTGGTCCAGCAGTTATTGACTTTCAATGCATGACTTCATTATTTCCTCTTTGTGATCGATGTTCTACACTTCACTGTCACCATGTCAACTTATGCACTGATGCATGGATAAAAACAACATCCATCTTTTTTATAGGATTATATAAAATTTTAAAAGATTACGATAAAAAGATAGAATGTGACTTGGTCTCTATTTTATTAAAGGTGCATGTAAGAATTGTTTCAGCATCTTATGTTTAAATTTGATGATAAATAATAGAAACAATAAACAACTTGTGACAAGGATTGACGATATATCTGTTTTTACATGAAGTTTAACTTTGTAAGTCTTTAACCAAGGGTTCTCACAAATTTAATTCACTCAAAATATGAACTTCTCGTCACTCACAAATTATTCTCTTTATCATAAAGCAATGATATTTGTGTCCTTGTGTTAACAAACATACACCTATCATAAGTGGTAATCTTATTCAAAACCTCACAAATGTTCTCAAATTCTATACACCCCCAGTTTGAGAAATGGGGCATTCAAACAGTGCAGCATATTCACAACTGTAGAACAAGTATCGCAACAGCAGAACTCAGTGTAGTGGTAGCATGGAATAAAGGTATCAGATTTATTGTTCTCGCTATGACGAGTCACATGCATATAAACAGGTGTATTTACATATTTTCCGTACCAGTTTAAGATGTCTGGCACATTACAATGGATGACAGTTAAGTGAAAGGTCAGTTACACAGTGATTAAATCACTTGATGCAGTCTACCGAAGTCCTTGTCATCTACTGTGCCCGCAGCTTTATTACTTGACTTAAGCTGCCAAATCTACATATCAGATTGCTTTAATGGCATTAAATGGCATGTTAATTTTCAATTTCGAGAGTACTATTGCCACTAAAGATTGAAAAACAAACATGTCAAGATACTCAATAATTTATTCATTTCGTGTATGTTTAAATCACAGATTTTTAAATGTTGTTCCCCATGGCCTACAAACAGCGATGATAAAGTGTATTAAAGAAATGTTTCGCTGTACTTCACTGGTTGTAAAACTGACAAAAAGAATGGTCAAACATCAGTTTGAATTGTTTTCTGATTTCAGTTTTGTTTTCAGTCTGTCAATTTCGTAAACCAACTTAAATTACTAGGCCTTAGGAATCATTGTGCTACATACAGATGTACAGGTGTTAAGCATAATGATTTCACCATGATTGATTTAAGTCGTCAATGGCTATATGATGGCTTACATAATTTTAGGGTGGTGGGGTAGCCTAGTGGTTAAAGCGTTGGCTCGTCACACCGAAGACCCGGGTTCAAATCCCCACATGGGTACAATGTGTGAAGCCCATTTCTGGTGTCCCCCGCCGTGATGTTGCTGGAATATTGCTAAAAGCGGCGTGAAACCAAACTCAGTCAGTCAGTAAAATTTTTTTCGAATAATCATTTCAGACTGCATTTGTACGTGGCCACCGTCGGACTCCCAGTGACATTGAGTTCAAGGAGCTGACCCGTAGAGATGCTCAGAATGCCATGAACAAGGAGCTGCAGAAGCTTGTCCAGACAGCTGATGGTGGAACAAAAGACGTGAGTATGTCCTCTAACTGAAGGTGTGGATGTGCCCCACAGTATGTCTGTACTGTTTGATGGGCATTCTTGAAGTTGGTGAGTCAATAATAAAGCGTACAACTTTATGGATAACAACTTCTTGTTTGTTGAACAGAGCTACGTTTTGGTGTAGATTCTTATACCGTTTCAAGCTTTAGCATAAATTTATATATATGTAATTCAAATTGTTCTGAAGTGAGATGTATGAATTTGGCATACATGTAATATGAACACACAATTTATTAAATCATCCCTAATCTCATGTGAAACTATAAACAAGGAAAGCACGAATGCTATTTTGAAACATGAATTTTGTCCGTGCACCTGTTGTTGAGGCCGATGTGTGTAAAGTATCAAAGAAAATTATGTTCATGTATTAGTTATGATTTTTACTTATCCTGACTCATGATCTTTTGCTTATCTCCCTTTCCTTTTCGAATGGTAATGGAACACTTGAATCCCTTGAAGTTCCCGAAGCGGACGTAAAAATACACTCACCCACGAGTTACCTCCCTTTTGCCCTTTTCCTGCGCAAACAGTCATGTGACCAGCCTTACTTGCCACTCTCTCCCTCCACCATCGCCCAAGCGGATGGTTGGGCGAGCACTGGAGTCCCTTATATGGCATTATATCCTTTTTATTTAGGTCCTATTCTCCAAAATTACGCTGTATATATTTGGCAATAACTACTATGTATTATATGTAAAATAATTGTAGAAATTATTTGTATTTGTGTCTTTATTTCATCGTTATGTAACTTTGTTGACATTTCATGAAATCTTGCAGTGTTTGCAAGCACAGGTTATCCATGGCTGATCCTCACCCCAAGTGCCGTTCGTGCATAAAACCATGTCTGCAACGGTCACAGCAGGCCAGCTGTTTGACGAACTACCACCTACTTCCCATGGAGTGAAGTTGAGGCACAGAACTCATCAGCATTTGCGAACGCTTCATCTACACCGCAGCAGCTTCAACCAATGCAGAACTTCGACCCGGGCGAATTTATGAGACAATTCACCAACCATGATGGAACGTAGGTTCGAGGAAGAAGCGAAGGCTTGGCGAAGCCTCTCATCTACCGACACTGTGAGCAAACCTGCGGACCTGCGCGAACCTACTCCTCATAGAACTACATCTCAAGACTACGTTGGCGAACATACACCTTTGCGAAGGTCTCCACAGTCGGACGACTCTGTCATCTTAGAAGAGGATAGAAGAGATGAGATGCCTACTCACAGTTCTACATCTGCGAACCCTCAACATTCGAGAACATTGAAGGATCCATCTCCTACACCTAGCCACTCTAGATCAAGATCTCATATCTCTCACAGACGTTCGCGAAGTCACTCATCACGAGACAGAGGTTCGCGAAGAGAAGGCTCTCATCTCAGAAGTTCGCGAAAGGATACATCCAGCGACAGCTGTTCGCGAAGGGAAAGCTCACATCACAGAGGTTCGTGAAGAGATGTATCTACAGATAGAGGTTTGCGAAGAGAGCACTCTCAAGATAGACGTTCGCATAGGGAGGAATCTTCAGATAGAGGTTCACGAAAGGATGATGAAGGTTCGAGAAGGGATACAGGTTCGCAGATGGATGAGTCACAGAGACCTAGCACTAATATTCAGGAGACTTTGGATCAGCAAGCAGACTTCGTCTTCCCAGACTCAGAGGTTACAGCATGGATTGCCAACGGGTTGAACTTGGAGTCTCCTTCTAAGGATAAAGATGAAGTCTACACTTATAGGATGCGTAACGACGACTTCGACTCCGTCACTATCCCTCCGATTGAACCTATATCCAAGGTACCCTCTAACCTACGCACAGCATTCACGAAAGCATCCAAGTACCAGAGTCAACAACTACCATCATTGAATGTGAAGAGATTCCCCTTACATCATATGGATCCATTTACAAAGGCGCCTGAATGGGATGATAACATCAAGTTAGTCAATGACTCCCGAAACAAGATGTATAAAGTGGAAGACAAAAAGCTATCTCAACTTCATACTGCTGCAAGGAAATCCTTCTTCGGGTTGGCCAGGTCCAGAGCCATCAATGAAGCATTGATCAATAAATTCCAGAACTCAAGTTCGGAAGAGGATAGAATGATATATTCGGCCCTCATAACACAGAAGAAGGACCAATACTTTTTATTGGACCATCAGGCATCTATATCTGCAGGTCTCACTTTACTACACAGACAAGGGCTACTTGCATCCTGTTCATGGAGTGATAGATTCACCCAACCGCTACTGAGAGCTCCATGGGAGGTGCCTACTATCTTTGGAGGACAAATAGAGGATGCAGCTAAGGAAGCTATGCACGACTCTATAGAAGTTATGATGATAAAATCCATAGATACTCTGGCCAACGTCATCCGTCAGACTTCGCAAAAGTATAACAGCAAGTCCAAATATTCCGGGCATACAGAAGGCAAAGGAGAAGAAGTACCCCAGCTTCAGAGGCGGCAAAGGATCTTTTCGTCGCCCATCCGGAAATTACAGAGGAAACTCAGGGAGAGGCTGCACTACCAGAGGATCCAGAGGAACTAGACGTTGATATCAGGGTTCGGAACGACTGGAGTCTTCCATCCCCAGCCGTTCCTGTAAAACTGTCGACAGTGTGTGGACGTCTACAAAGGTACTGGAAGAACTGGGGAATACTAGAGGACGACTACGTCTCCCAAGTACCCTCAGCCCGATGGTCTTCAACTATGCAGAGGAACAGGCAGACAAACTACAAGAAGCCATCGACTCACTACTGATGAAGGAGGCAGTAGAGATAATAGATCAGCATCATCTCATTCCTGGCTTCTATTCCCCAATTTTTCTAGTACCCAAGAAGAACTCCAAGGAGAAGTTCAGACTGATGTACAACATGCGCAAATTCAACAAAGACTATCTACTGAAACCAGAGAGGTTCAGAATGATCCACCTACCTCAACTCAGACTACTCGTCCGTCCAGCAGATTACATGGCCAGCATAGACCTGCAGGATGCGTATCTACACATCCCCATCCATCCGAAATCAAGAAAGTATCTACGATTCCTATTCAAAGGGCAGCACTTCCAATGGAACGTCCTACCATTTGGAATATCTTCGGCTCCGTAACTATTCACACGAGTAACCAAGCCAATAGTCGCATATCTACATCATTGAAGTCTATGCCTTCTACTTGGACGACGGAATTCAGGTTCTCCAAGATGCCAGTCAACTCAGACTACAGCTGAACTTCACAATCAAGTTTCTCACTCAACTAGGATGGTTGGTGAACCTTATGAAGTCAGAGTTGGAACCAAAACAAGATCTGCAATTTCTGGGGATAAGGTTTATCACAACACAGAATTGTATTGTCGTCCCAGAAGATCGTTGGGTCAAGATACAAACCATGATTCCACCGGCAGTCATCTCTCCGTTAACACTACGATCATGGCAAGTTCTACGTGGTCTACTAACCTCGGTGGAGGACTTGACTCACAGGACGTTTACAACTAAGATCGCTGCAACGGTTCCTGACAAAACATCTAGACAGCGTCGACCTTATCTTGCTGCCAGACAACCTCAAGAGGTATCTACTGTGGTGGACGCACAGGTCGAATGTTTGTGGAGGGACCTATTTACAAGAGCCGGCCTTCGACACACATCTCTACGCAGACGCCTTGATGCAGGGATGGGGTGCGCTTCTCAACAATCAAGTTGCATCAGGAAGGTGGTCCAAAATAGAGCAGCATCTTCACATCAATCTGCTGGAGATGAAAGCCATGATCAACGCCTTACAACTATGGTCAAGCTCGCTGAACAACAGAATGCTGATGGTCCCCCCGTACAACTCTACAGTGGCATTCTCCATAAATCGGCAAGGATCCACAAGGTCTCCAAGCCTGCTACAGCTCACATTCCAGTTGTTCCACATCACGCAGGAAGCAAACACCTGGATAAAGGCGTGACACATACCCGGAGCCAAGAACGTACTTGCAGACGCTCTCACCCGACCACTGCACCCGTCATCTACGGAATGGATGCTCCATCCAGAAGCGTTCCGGCTCATCATAAGGGAAATAGGATCCCCTTGCATAGACCTGTTTGCCACGAGGTTCAACAAACAACTACAGACGTTTGTCTCACCAGTTCCAGATCCTCAATCCTGGGGAACAGATGCACTGAGCATAAATGCCCATGAAGGACTAAATGCCTACGCGTTTCCACCCCAGATATTACTTCCAAAAGTACTGTTGAAGATCAAACAGACACAGGCGCTACAACTGACTTTGGTCACGCCCTACTGGCCAGCGAGAGTATGGTTCCTAGACCTCTGAAGTCCAGCAACCAAGTTACCAGATTGGCCGAACCTACTCATACATCCGCACACCAAGCAAGTCCACAGGAACCCGACAGTGTTCCAGCTACACGTGTGGACCGTATCAAAAACATGTTTGAAGAAAAGAGGATACTCCGCCAGGGCTGCCAAGGCAGTAACGCTAGCATTACGCAGATCTACTTGTAACCTGTATGATGACAAATGGCTGAAGTTTGAGACTTATGCAAGGTGGAAAGGCTTCACTGCGATGAAAGCTACTCATCCTCAAGTGGCGGAAGAGAGAGACCAGACATCTGAAAGGTTCGACATTATCTACATACCTCGCCACCATCAGTACAGTGATTACCATGAAAACAGACATCAAGTTGACGAAAGTACCAGAATTACTTGCTCTGCTGAGATCTTTTAAAATGGAGGACCAGCAAAAGAAGTTCAGAGCTCCAGCCTGGGATCTGAATGTAATTCTACGTCATTTTACAAGTGATGCCTACGAACCTCTAGACCACTCACTACCCTCGAGCTGCTGACACAGAAGACTCTGTTCCTGCTTGCACTAGCCACAGCAGCTCGAATATCAGAGATACATGCGCTGGACTTTGGTCGAACCAGATTCGACACAGGGCAACATGCTGCAGTTCATCTAGGACTTAAATGGGACTTCATTGCCATGAACCAACTACCTGGTCAGCCAGATAGACAGTTCCACGTACCAGCGCTATCTACAATCCTCGGCCCACAGGATATAGAAGACCTATCCTTGTGTCCGGTCAGATCCCTGAAGATATATCTTCAAAAGAGTGAGACAAGGAGACAAAAATTCAAGCGCCTGTTCATCCCATTATCAACAGAGACATCAGCAGAAGTCTCAAGAACGACCATATCATTCTGGATGAGAGATGTCATATTGAGAGCCTATAAAGCAGCAGGACTAGAACCTCCTAGACCTTCCAACCCGCACAAAGTTAGAGCACTGGCATCAAAACTGGCTCTGCACGGAAATTGCTGTATACCAACAATTATGTAGGGCTGCTTTTGGAAGTCGGACACGGTGTTTGCCAACCGCTACCTCCAAGACATAGCCACTGAATACGTCTCAGGCATACCAGTTTGGGCCTCTCGTTGTAGCACAGCAACTAACGGTTCCTCAAAGGCGCTGAGTTTGAAAATCTCACCCTTTATCACATTGACTTGTTGGTAACTTCTACTAAGGAAAAATTATTAGTTTGAAAGTCCATGCGCACAGTCTAGCACAGGCTAGCATGCGTGATTAAAGATCCTGTACTGGTAAAGATCTTACCTGGACGTGAAGGGGTCGCAACTCATTTATGATAAAGATCTTATCATAATCTATGGGTTGTTATGAGATATCTAGTAATAAGAAGATACTAGTTTATCTGTAGCCACATTAATCAACATGATTCAACTTGTTTGAGACTGAAGTAAGACAAGAAAGTGGTCCCCCCGAGTTATAACGGAAGTTGGAAGAATAGGATCACGGAAATGCCATTTCGCAGTTCCCATGGGGGGGATACAGGACGTATCTAAGGACAGCTGATGAATCCACAAGGGCTTGACCCACCACCAATCCGTCAGATTCTATAAGCAAAAGATCATGAGTCAGGATAAGTAAAAATATGTAATTTTTTAAGTAAAATTGATATTTTTATACTTATCCTGACTCATGATGAGAAGCCCTCCCAACCTCCCCGTTGAAGACACTTTTGATTTCACAGCTGATCCAAGTGCATGGGCAGAAATTCAGGAGAGAGTGGCAAGTAAGGCTGGTCACATGACTGTTTGCGCGGGAAAAGGGCAAAAGGGAGGCAACTCATGGGTGAGTGTATTTTTACGTCCGCTTCGGGACTATTTTCAAGCGTTCCACTACCATTCGAAAAGGAAAGGGAGATAAGCAAAAGATCATGAGTTAGGATAAGTATAAAAATATCAATTTTACTTTAAAAATTACATTTTCAGATGTCTCACCCTTTCAATTTGAGTCACTTTGAAATTTTCATGATATTAATTCAGTATCACAGCTAGGGGTGACTATTGAGGGGGAAACAACTATTGCGATAGCGATAGTCTATTGTGACCAACTATTGCAATAGTATTGAAATAGTTTTTTCTGTCCTTGAATTGTCTCATTTGAAGTCATTTCCCAAATGAATGTATAGTTTATATAAAATATAAACTAGCTGAAGTAGTTTCAGTCTCTTTTAATAACTGACAAGAAACTTGAAACCCAGATCAAGTTTGTTTAAGAGGTAACAGGGGCAGAGAACTCTAAATCAAAGTGAACTAATCTGGTACTTCCTGTATTTTGCGATGTGCATTTATCAATGAAAGTCAATTACTAAACTATCGATAGTCACACATACTATCAATGCATCAATAGTTTTTCGTTCCTACCATCAAGTAATTGCTATCAGAGGCTCAACAATTGCAATCCATCAATAGTTCGATGCATCTTTACAGCCCTAATCACAGCACTTAAAATTGTGAAATTTCAGGAATTTTGTGATAAGCTTATATCATCACTTCCTGTTTAAAGACTACTAGACAGGGCAAGGTGCATGAATCTGACTCTTAAGACACACAACACTATTTTCATACATTTGAATAATCAAACCAAATGGGGCCTTGCCTCCTTCATCATCAATATGTAACCTGGTTTGTAACCGGGGGCAGTGGTGTAGTGTTGGCTCGTCACGCCGAAGACCCGGGTTCGATTCCCCACATGGGCACAATGTGTGAAGCCCATTTCTGGTGTCCCCCGTCGTGATATTGCTGGAATATTGCTAAAAGCGGCGTAAAACTAAACTGAGTCAGCCAGTAGTAACCATCTCAGCGACCTTTGTTCATTTTGTGGATAATTTGTTGGTTCCTTGCTCACAGTCAATACACTTTTCAGAAAATCCGGACAGAGTTTGATGGTTTTGAAGGACTGTTTGCTCGCTTCCTCAGTGAATCCGGTCCATCAGTCATCTGGGATAAGATCAAGCAGCTGTCTGATGATACAGTAAGTTCCCTGGGCTGTACCAAGTATCATCCACATTCGGGAGTAACTGTACATCATGCAGCTCCAACACATTCAGTTATTGACAGACACAGTCAATCTCAGTCAAATCGGTTAAACTTGCAGCTGTGACTAACATGATAAATTTTGCTCAGTGATAATATGTGGTTGGTATTAATTGTGGTGTGAATCAATGGGTGGAGATGTGCAGCCACACAGACTCAAGCCAGGTGAGTCCAATTAGGGATAAGCTTACCACATTTTCAATTTAGATGTACTAATCATAGATTTGATACTCTATGGTGAAAATTACTTTCAATAAATATTTTTTAAGTGATTGGGATGCCTAGTGGTCGGTCAAAGTATTTTCTGGATTTAGTTGTTTGGTTCTGTGGTGTATGCAGTGAGTGAAGTCAATTGTTACCAGGGCTCCAGATGAGGGCCAAATCGGCGTATGTACGGATAAAAAATATGCACGATACGGTAGGATGCAATTTAGAAAACGTAGCAGATACGCACCACAGCAATGGTGTTCGGTCTTCGAATCATTTACAGACGTATTATCTGAAAAAGTATTGTTTTATTGTTTATTGACCTGTTTACACAAGAGTAGCTATGTTGTGGTGCATATATTACTTTGGTATGTTTGTGTATTTCTCTTGGGTTCATTTCTGGTGTGTCCCCCGTCGTGATATTGCTGGAATATTGCTAAAAGCGGCGTAAAACTGAATTCACTCTTGGGTTCATTGATATGACAGTCTGCCTACACAAGACCCTGCTCCGATAGAGGGACTCTTGATGGAACACTTATACATATGTTCGTGTAAACATGGACACGCTTGCAAGCACGCACATGCACACACACACACACACACACGGATACACAACATGTTGGTGGATTTCCCCCAGGTGTGTCACCATGATGGTCAACATGTTGGTGGATTTCCCCAGGTGTGTCACCATGATGGTCGGTTGCTCACTCACTCACTCACTCACTCACTCACTCACTCACTCACTCACTCACTCACTCACTCACTCACTCACTCACTCACATATATTTCTGTATTCTCCTCAGGTGCGGCGCTATGGTGGTCTCCCAACACCGGATCCTGCCAGGATTAAGGAACTCCTCAACCAGCTTGTGGTCGTCAAGCTTAATGGCGGCCTCGGCACCGGAATGGGATGTAAAGGACCAAAGAGTGTCATCTCTGTCCGAAATGAACTCACTTTCCTTGATCTGACTGTACAACAAATAGAGGTAGGCTAAATTCTTGGAATGCAAGCTTTGCTCTATAGATGTGTAATGAGCACGTCAGGGCTCCACATACAGAACTGAAAATGCCTTGAATGTTGAAGCATCATCTTGACAAAGCCTTGACTCTAACACATTCATGAAAAAGAAATTTATCAAATCCTTGTTGAAGAGGCCAGAAATGTAGCAAATGCTTGAAAATGACTTAAATTCCATAAAATCTTATGTGTAAGAAGTATTTAAATCAGTGACATGTGTGATAGATTCATGTAACCCGTGTTTGGTGGTATAAACCTACACCTGTTTATTTGTCATCATTCACTTGATGGTCAGTTAATGAATTTATAACAAGTATAATTAGTGGTAACACGACTCAGATTACCAGACAAAGTTTGCCATTTAGCCTTTTTCGTGTCTGGAGTAAATACTCAACTCAAATGATTAACTAAGGTCTGATGTGATGAAAGCACAAGAGGAATTTTCAGCGGAGATAAAAAAAATTAAAAAAACTTGGTCAAAGGAGTAACCGATAACATGTTGATCTTCTTGAACGGCGGATTTGTCAAGAGGTAGTGTTTAGGCATATAGATTTACTAATGTATACCGAGTACACCCATATTCCATCATCAAATGCTGTGTAAAAACAACGTCCTATCTCCAAAGGATTAACAGACAATACATTGATTGATTGCTCATTGTTGTATAACTAAATTACTTTTCGACATAATGGTGGACATCATGAAAATAGGGGGCGGTGGGGTAGCCTAATGGTTAAAGCGTTGGCTCGTCACTCCGAAGACCCGGGTTCGAATCCCCACATGGGCACAAAGTGTGAAGCCCATTTCTGGTGTCCCCCGCCGTGATGTTGCTGGAATATTGCTAAAAGCGGCGTAAAACCAAACTCAGTCAGTCAGTCATGAAAATAGTTACCGTACTAATTTAGCTATCCCGGGTGACCATTGCGACTCTATACCAATGTAAAACACCTGTCAAAGTCAGTGACCAATTTTTCAATATTAGATCGTTAAAGAACATCTGACAAGGTACAGGTTTCTTTGTCAGCTACTGATTGATGGGTTATCGTTCCTTTATGTGGATATAGATGGATGCATTTCTCAAACAAGGTGATATAAGGTAATAAATCATTTATTGTAGCATTCAACAAAATCATTCCACTTCATTTGATTTACTCGTATGCGCGACAGACAACATGCACGAAGTCACTCTTATGGCGTGTGTTTGTGAAATATGATTCACTTAGGCAATATATAAAATGTCTAGATAATACAGTCATTTCTTAAATTCAGTAAAAACAGATCATGTACTTTTTTATGTAGTTCCAAGTGCATAAAACTATACTAATAAATTAACTATGATAGGGTTATAAGGCAAAAATATACAGACGCTCATTGAATTCATTTGGCGTAAAGCTTCAAAACAATTTCATTTGTCATAATTATCAAGATGGAAATATTAATGGGTAAAACAGATTACAATATTTTCCACATTAATTCCAAGACGAAACTGTATTTCATCTTTGTTGATCAATGTAAAGATATGCCCTTATACTATCAATGGTGCAGCAGAGATCGCAACCCAGTCAAGAATTCTGAAAAAATAACAATAACAAAAGCAACAACCAGTCACAGGGGAATTGCTCCAGATCAGTGCCCCTTTGAGGGCCAGCACATTTTAGAAACTACGCCCAGTAGAAAAACTGTTCGCCAAAACATTATAACTGTGTCATACTCTTGCAGCATTAATTACAAAACACAAATACATGGCAAAATGGCCTGACAAATTCTGTGGACAAATAGACAAGTCCTGTTGGCTGCTGGATATTACACTCTATGGCAGCACAGCAGTGGTATCAAAGCGGTAACTACAGCACCATGAAGAGTGCAGATAAACTTTTCTCATAACTCTTTTCCACTTTGCATGTTTAAGTTCTCGGTCAATATGACCGATTAAAGTAATGTAATACTTAAAAGCTGAGTGTCACGAGTCATTTACAGCGTAAAATAAACTGCAGGGCCACCGTAAGGGCTCACTGACATTTTAACCATCAGACCAATAACAAATCTTTCACTAAGGCCAGAGTTGTCTTCTTCTAACAAAATGGCTTACCGGTATATGTTACTGTGAAGGACCAGTTACTTTCTCAGTTAAAAAGCAGTTTGCTTAATGAGATAAGATAAGTTTCCACTGCACCTTTGAATAACAAACTTATCCTTGTGTTTTCCCAAATGTTTAGCCATAAAAGATCTTCTCTAATTTCTTTGTTCTTATGACATATTGACAGAAAGGGGTACTCATTATCTACCTGGTATTTTGATTACAAAGTTTTGTCTCTTCTTCAGGTTTATTTTCAGCTCTGCTGTTTTCAATTTCTAGTGGTAACACACCTTATATTTATTATGTGATTGTAGACATATTTGTTCAGATCCAAAGTAGTTAAATAGGATTCAGTTTCAACAATATTTTTAACTGTGTATAACATCCGAGTTTGGGGCTGTTGTTAATACTACCATACCATTTTGATACAGTTACTCTTTCAGTCTTTGAGTAAAACGTGAATATACTGATTTATATTCTCCACACGTAGTTCAGCCCCACATAAAACCATATGTACAAGGAAGTTGTTGAACATGTGCAAGCCAGGTGACTTTTCCTCACTCATCATACTACTGCAACATTTCTGACATATCTGTTCTATGGCAATCTAACAATTTTAAACCAGTATTTGTTCACCCTCTTTGAGGTGTTTACATACAGTGAATATCTCACACATTTATGGGTAATTGTATAATTAGGAGTTTTAAGATTGACTTGTAGGTAACACTTAACACCGACATGTGTACATTTTATATTTGATAATAAATTGTGAACCCCACTTTTCACAAACATAGGAGAGGATTGGAAATATCGGTGTATCAAAGATTTTAGTAAATACACTTCTATCGATAGTAGACAGAGTTTTCGTACAGGTGAATATACAACTTGGTGTTCTGTAAACACAATGCCGTTTGAAAAATGGTCAAATGTAACATGTCATGTTTTATATTATACTTTCTCGGAAAAGTACAGATTCTAGTACTTTTTGGGTTGAGTCACATCTGGGGTTCGAACCCACACTATCAGAATGACGTACAAAGTCAGCAATGTAACCCACACACGTTGCTGGCAAAAGGTATCAACTTGTCACATATGTATACCTAATGCCTCCATGGTATTAACTAACTCATTGATATACAGTGGAAACATGCATGGACTTAACATGTTTGTTAAGCCCTCAGGATGTGAAAAATATTATGAATATACATTATTATTCCTGGCACTATCATAGACATATTATGTATGCTTTGTATTTTTGTACATAGGTAATTGTACCAATAAAATTGTATATTTCATACAGTTCATCTCATCTCAAAGTGCCGGATGCCTTTAGAAATCTACAAAGGCTGTATAAAACTAACCTTTTTTTGTGCCGGTACTTTTGGCAATAATATCTAGAAGGACAATCTGTTGTCTGGACTGAAACATGAGAGTCATGAAGTGTTTTAGTATACAATTCATTCCTCATCATTAATCTGTCTTTCATATGTTTAAAAAATCTCTCAAGGACACTTACAAAGGCAATCCCAGATTAGTGATTTGGATCCTTTCTTATATAACTTTTATAGATAGGGATGATATCTGACCATTTTTCGAGAAATTTACATGATTCAAGGTATCATTAAAGAAAACTAAACGAGCCCAAGTAAAATATCATTACCTTCTCGTAAGAATTCTGCTGAAAGTTTATCTGATCCAGAAGTTTTGTTCCTCTTCAGTTATGATCCGACAAAAATTAACTTTTTGTTATCCTTGGTTGCACTTTCTTGACAAACACTGTCTTTGGGGAAAGGTAGGTCATTTCAATCTTAAAAGATTATCTACAGTGATACAATCGTTCAGCATTCCAAAACTAGCATTAAAATCACCACCTAAAATGGAAACAATTGATATGCATTCTCATTTGTTCAAATTATGTAACTTCCAAATGATGGTCATTACAGAGAATAAGGCATTCTCTTCCCACAGAGGTTACTTGTCATATCTTCCTACGAACCTCTGTTCTAATACGGCCATATTTCCCGGTTCTCGTAAAATCCCCTAGCGGCAAAAGATCGCAACACGAATTATCTCCCTTCTTTCTATCCAATCAGAACACGTGTTACATCGACTTAGATTCAACTTGACTAACACAAGCAAATGTGGGGCCACAAATATCCCCCATCTGCCGGGGACTTGTGTTGATGTTACACACAAGACGTTTAATGGCAAGCTTGTCCGTTGTCAACGAGGGCGATGGAGATGCCACTGATCAGCCATAACATGACTGAGTTCTGTCTAGAAGAAACGTTTGCGCATCGCGCAGGGGAAGAGGTTTAGTTTTCTCGAAGCATACGGAAATTACCGAGGCCTTGCGAATGATCACTTTTGAAACAACATCGCTGATTGCACAACTAAATCTGATTGCCTCCAATCACGAGTCTTGAACGCTCACACCATGAAAGGGCCGTATTAGAACAGAGGTTACGTAGGAAGATATGACAGGAGTAACCTCTGTGGGAAGAGAATGAGAATAAGGAGGTTGCGTACAAATCCCTCCTAGTGCCATGTTTTTGTCATCATACCACATGAGATTTATCCACCCGTACAAACAAAATTATCAAAATTTATGTGTAATATTGTGACACATTATGAAAGGTCTATTCTTATCAGTCTCAACATTCCGAACTGTGAAGCTCCGGGTTAGAATTGGTCTTCAGCAACCCATGCTTGTCACAAGAGATGACTAACGGGATCAGATGGTCAGGCTGGCTGACTTGACACATTGACACTCCTAATTGTGTAGATCGATGCTCATGCTGTTCTCTATATTGTCTGGTCCAGTCTCAATAAGTGTCATAGCCATACAGCTGGAATATTGCTGAGTGAGGCATTAAACTACAAGCAAACAAACTCAACGTTCCATCGCTATAGATTGGGTGCTTATAAATATAAGTCATCGAGTTTAAGCTGGGAGTTTTTGTCGCTAAGTTTGGTAAAAACTGTACTACATATCTCTGTCTTGAGGGTGTAGACATTTCACTTTTACTGCTCTTGGTTTGGATGTCTTTTTGTGTTCTACCATCGTGATGTGCATGTCGTGTATTGTTCACAGCCTTTGTCTGGGATACACTGTCAAAGACTAACAATGATCTACTGTCTGCATGCCTTTGTCTGGGTTACTCTGTCAAAGACTAACAATGATCTACTGTCTGCATGCCTTTGTCTGGGTTACTCTGTCAAAGACTAACAATGATCTACTGTCTGCATGCCTTTGTCTGGGATACACTGTCAAAGACTAACAATGATCTACTGTCTGCATGCCTTTGTCTGGGTTACTCTGTCAAAGACTAACAATGATCTACTGTCTGCATGCCTTTGTCTGGGATACACTGTCAAAGACTAACAATGATCTACTGTCTGCATGCAAAGACTTTGTCTGCATGGTCTACACTGTCAAAGACTAACAATGATCTACTGTCTGCATGCCTTTGTCTGGGATACACTGTCAAAGACTAACAATGATCTACTGTCTGCATGCCTTTGTCACTGTCAAAGATACACTGTCAAAGACTAACAATGATCTACTCTACTGTCTGCATGCCTTTGTCTAGGATACACTGTCAAAGACTAACAATGATCTACTGTCTGCATGCCTTTGTCTGGGATACACTGTCAAAGACTAACAATGATCTACTGTCTGCATGCCTTTGTCTGGGATACACTGTCAAAGACTAACAATGATCTACTGTCTGCATGCCTTTGTCGGGGATACACTGTCAAAGACTAACAATGATCTACTGTCTGCATGCCTTTGTCTGGGATACACTGTCAAAGACTAACAATGATCTACTGTCTGCATGCCTTTTGTAGACTTGTTTACTTCTTCCATCAACTAAACAATGTTATGTTGCCCTGAATATGATTCTATTACATCTGTTACGAGCGCCATGCTACACACATGACTCTCGAAGTGACAGATACTATCCGCATTCTGTCCTCCCAATTAAGACTACAAATAGTTTCTAATACGTTACACTCGTATTTTATTTTAGAATCATATTGGGAAACTGCTCATAATGTTTACACTTCTACAGAGATGTAACATAATATTACCTTTAGAAATACTGTTATCAAAATCTTGTTAAAAAACTTTCATCAATCAGATATATCACTGTCTCTCAGTGTTTGTTTGTTAATACGAACTTGGTTATAACTGCTGGCAACCATAGACTGCTTTCAATACTTAACAAGTAGTAACAGTAATGACAATAATAACTAGGATTGCCTCCTGGGCATTACTGACGGTCTTCTGACTTCCCCATACACTCCCCGTGGCTAACTTTACTTATACTGTTTCTTTGGACGCCAGCTGGAGCGCCCATTACAGTGTTTTTGAAATTAATTTGGCATTGATTCAATCCTGCTGACACAAACGGAAAATTCACAAACTGCAAAAAAACAAACAGGAAGACACAGTCAAACAAAGCAAAATAATACAGTAATATCTACAGACATATACTAAAAGTGATTACTGGTAAATATTGTAGATTTTGTTGTGGTCAAAAAGTCAAGCGTATTCCTGTCACAGTCAGGCTGGTAACCATACTGCTGGAGAAATCACATCCTGGCAATTCCAGAACACTAATTGTTTTGACTGTAGACCTAAGAACAACAGAGATAAGGCCTGTTAAAGAGGGAACTATTTCTGTGGGCTCTGGAAAACCAGGAAGTGGTGATTGTTGCTAGATTTTACGACGCTTCCTCCAGCTATCTCACCATTAACGAAATGCGAAAAGGCCTAATGTTAATGTTTGTGCCGTGATTGTGACGTAACTATTGACTTTTTACAAAATAATAATGTGAAGCAAAGATGTTCCACATTTCATTATCTACAGTTTGGTACCTTGAAAAATGAAATCCATTGTTTTCGCAGAGCTGACATTTTTATGAACCCTATGAAAATGTGTCTTGACAAATTGACCAACTTCCAAGGCTTATAACTCCACACCTATTCAAGATATCGACATGCCTTGAGCAAGCTCAGTAGTCCAGAGTTTGGGCTTTACAACGATATATCAAACACAATTGTACTATATGCCATTCAGGAGGAGAAGTTTTTTAAACACAGGCACCATCAAAACGTGAAAATCGGCAAAAAATTCAGTTTTTTTCAAAATTGAGGAAAATCTATCATGGCGGCCAACTTCCGCTATGCGTTGAATCGATGGGGAAGGAGGTTGTGTACATTGAGTGAAAATTTGGTCAATTTATCTCTAGTAGTTTTGGAGATACTGAGGTTTACAGATTTCGACATTTTGGGTTATCTGCCCTTACCGTAAGCCGGAAGTCTGGATTTTTTCGACTCTGTATCAATTTCAGCATACAGGCTATCATCTCTGAAAGTGTCATGAACATCGACCCAGCGGTTAGGTCAGGAGAGCTGGTACAAAAAACGTACAAATAATAATAATAATAATTCGAGTAAAAACAATAGGTCTTCCAGACATTCGTCTGAAGACCTAATGATAATAAGATTCCTCATATTAGCTGGACTTGACAGGACTTGACTATGACTCCATAGAAGGGTGTATGGTGCAAACACAAGACAGGCTTGATCAAAGGATCAGTGTACATTCTCTTCTCCCTGGGAAGTATGCAACTAAAGGGTAACCTTTGTAAATAGAGATTACAAAATGAGTGGGTGTTGAATAAGGAAATAATTCCAATGAGATAATTTTAAATGTTTTGATTTATTCATGAGTGAAAGTGAATCCATGATGACAAATCAAGCAGACGATGCAGAATGTAAACAAAACGAAAGGGAGATAACTCGGTTATGACTACTTTATAGATGAAAATGTGCAATTTTAAAATATTCAAATGAAAAGAAATGCTAATCCCCAGGACACTGAAATAAATTTTCGACTGGTTACACAACACCTGTTTCAAATAACCAAAATTATCGCATAAAGATATTGAAAACATATGTTTAACAAGGTTAATTATACACAAATGTTTTGTAAATTAGATGTACTTGGATATAAACCAGGATTACGCGTGGTGTGGTGCTGTGTATTCAGCAGCAGCCGCACATACGTACGTCCTGATTCTTGCACTGTTGTACCCAATATCTTTAAATTTGGTGACAGCCTACATTTGGGGATTACGCAGACACCAGTTGATTTAGGTGACTTTGATATTATCTTCAAGGTCACCACAACACTTTGACCACTTTTCAAACTTATGTAAACGCAATTTCTCATAAAACATTGCAACCCAATGTCTTCAATTATGTCAACAGCCTACATTGGGTGATTATGCAGACACCAGTCATTTCAGGCATCTTGTATATGACCAAAAACTATAAAGTAGTAAATATGTTATAAATATTTCATTCTTCTTTAACGGCGGGGGACATTGCCATATTAGTGGCAAACACTTCTTGTTGTTTTTTTGTGAGTTTAGTTTTATGCCCCTTTTACCTATATTCCAGCAATATCACTGTGGGCACCCCCATATTTATCTGTGAGGGAGGGTAAGAAAGCCTAGTGGTTAAAACATTTGCTGAGCATGCAGAGGGCCCGGCTCCGATTCCCCACATTGGTACAATGTGTGAAGCTCATTTCTGGTGTCCCTTGCCATGATTGTTATGGAATACTCACTATTTATCTAAGAATTGGTTTATCCAAACACGTAAGGTTTATTCAGTTCTCTGTGTGACATGAAACCAGTCTGAAGGTGTAAGTGCTTATTTCTTTGTTAAGTTTCAGAATACTGAAATGTTTTCTACGGTGTCACAAACTCACGATGATTTATCATCTGAAACAAGTAAGGTGAAATTTAATGGTATATTTCTTATATTTGCAGCATTTAAACAAAACATACAACACAGATGTTCCACTAGTATTGATGAATTCCTTCAACACCGATGATGATACGGCGAAGGTGCTGAAGAAGTACGGACAGGTGAAAGTCAGTATCTACACCTTCAACCAAAGCAGGTACTGAACAACAATATATTGTCCTCAGGACCTTCCTCCAGCACACCGTTGTTGTCTGTCTAAACCTGACATGTAGTGGACAGGGCAAGTCCAGTTTAGACAGTGGTTCAGATTAGTGAGATTATATCATTTGTCCAGTTTTGGCAGATTTCAATGAGATATAACAGTTGTAAAAAATGCTGTTCTTTATGTTTTACCTTTGTTCTTTTAGTTTTTGTAGAGAAATCTATAATCCCTCCCTAACTGACGTTATTGTCATCATCTTGTGAAGATTTCTTTTCGATTTCTTTTATCGAGTGACAAGGTGAACTTCCGTCTCAACCCATGAGCAGTCCCTTCTCCTTTGTAAGGCATTTTCTTTAAGACCAGACATCAGTATACATTCCATTGTTGTTTTTGGAATTCTCAGTGTTTCAGCCATTTGAGATTTATTGTAGATTATTCTTGAAGTTTTTCCAATAATTTCTTTCACATGCACGCTAGTTGGGGCATCTTTTCCACACAAAATGCAAAGCTGCAAAAAGCAGATAAAAAACTGTCAGATCACAAAATGGCAAACATCACATGACCTTCACAACTTCATCCACATCAAACATGCAGCCATTAACGCTGCGATACAGTTCAGAACACACAACATATAAGACAAATACCTATATCACATACCTATTTTGCAGACAAATTATGTTTTGGTCTTGTTTTAACCATTTTCTGTAATCGCTCAAACTGCATGTTTGGTTCTGTTTTGAGCCTGTACTTTCTGCTTATGTTGGCATAATTGAGTTCAGATGATTAGATTTTATTGTTTCCTTGGTATTTATGCCAGAAATATCTGAACATCAATGTTGATTGTAACTTTAGTTAAATAGCTGTCTTCATTGACATTTTAAACTGTCAGCTATACGCAGGTGAGCGTCAGTGCTTTGGCAATAAACGGATCAGTCAATGAAATATACATGGTGTTTGACAGGAAAATGCAAATAAATTGTATCCACAATAGAGGACAATAAATTAAACATGTCCAGGGTAAGACTTCCTAACGGTGTGTCAGAGGTATGTCCTATCTATGCTGTTATCTTAGAGCCGCTGTGGCTTCATATGCCGAGAAACACCTGAGGTGCTTATGTTATTGGTTGAAGTGCTTTAATATAACTCAAAACACTAGAGGGCTTGGTTGAAGTGAACGAGCTGATGTCACTGTTCAGTGTTCAAGTTTTTTCCACGTTCTTACCAAGATTTTATTAGACTGGAAATATTGTTCTTCTGAACATATCATTTCATATAAAATTCTGTGAAGTTCACCTAACTGTCTCTTAAACGGACAACCCATTAAGAATGAATACAGCAGAACTGTATCTACGTGGTCTCAGACGCTCAGTTTGGTAATGAACTGAAAAATATGTTTTATCTTTAACCAAATGCTGTTTGACAGATTACTACACTGTTCATATCATTTCTGTTAGATTGTATGAAATTCACCTAACTGTCTCTTAAACACACAGATCTGGGTTAGAATTTGTCTTCAGCTACACATGCTTGTCGTAAGAGACAACAGGATCAGGTGGTTAGACTTGCTGACTTGGTTGACACATGTCATCGTATCCCAGTTGCGTAGATCGATGCTCATGCTGTTGACCACTGGATTGTCTGGTCCAGACTCAATTATTTACAGACCGGTACCATATAGCTGGAATATTGCTGAGTGCAGCATTAAACAACAAACCAACCAAATTAAACGCACAACCCGCCAAGAATGAATACAGCAGAAGTGCATCAGTGTGGTCACTGTCAGACACTTCTTTTGAACTGAAAAAAATATTTTGTATTCTTCACCAGTTGCTGCTTGACAGATTACAAAACCACTTCATGTGTGTGTTTTTTACCAGGTATCCAAGGATCAACAGAGAGTCCCTGTTGCCTATTCCCCTGAACTTTGGAGTTGAGAGTCAGGACGGGTATGTATGTGCTACATGAAAGCCTCCCCCTCCTAAATGTTGGTGCCAGAGCCCCATAAGGTTGTACTCTGGATGTCCTAATAGTTTACTAGATGTATACGTTCGTCCCTTATCCTTGCATGAAGCGACAGGTCAATACGGTATTGATCACTTGGCTATGAGCATGTACAGTCATGTATTGTATGTGTAAATCAGTGTAATATATTTGTACATGCTGTTACACAGATATTATCAAGAGTTCTTTATTCAGGATTTATGACAGATTTGGTGGTATGCCAGATGGCAAGGTCAAGTTTGGTACATTTCTAAATGGGAAGCAAGATTAAACAATAGTAAAGGGAAGCCAGCTATTTTGAATTTGAATCAGCCATTTTAAATTATTTTATTTTATTCAGAATTATTATGTATATTAAAGTCAGGTAGGATAGCAATTGAGAATTGGTACCAAGTAACCTATGACAGTGTTTGCCATGACGCAGAAAACCTGCATATTTGACGCTCAAATTATCTCAAATATGCAGTGAATTTAAAAGCTTGCGTCATTGTTGACGCTATGCTTCTGGGCCCTTAGTTCAGATAGTCTAAACTGACCAGAGAGTCATGATGACTCCTAAATTTTTATGCCTAGGGCAAACACTGCTATGAAGGTTCTAAGAGTTGAGTAAATGGGTCAGGCTGTGGGAACTGGAATTGAGCACTGCTCATGACATCCATCACTGGATTGTTTGGTCTGTCCTGAGTGCAGCGTTATACAGCCAACACACAAAGGCACACACACACACACACACACATACACATACACATACATACACATGCACATGCACACTCACAGGCACACGCACATGCACAGCTCCCCATAGATCATGATGATGGTTGTCCCCGCAGGTGGTACCCTCCTGGTCACGGAGATGTCTACCTCAGCTTCTACAACTCCGGGCTGTTGGATGAGTTCATAAAGGCAGGGAAGAAGTATGTGTTTGTTTCCAACATCGACAACCTGGGTGCAACTGTCGACCTCAGTATCCTTTGTCAGCAACAACTAAGCTCACACACTTCATTGGCCGGAGAAACAACATTATCCTGTCACTAGTAATATTTCCAGACGAAATGTTTGCTAGGTTTCACAAACGTAAGAGGCTTCACCTCAGGCATACTGAAGTTATCTCCCTTGGCGACACTATTTTGTAGGTGTCATCTTAAATTGTGTCTTGCTCAAATATCACATGTTATCATACAAATAATTCCATTAGAAATGTGGCATGTGCTATCAGGGATTCTAGACTGATGAGGTTCAGACTGATGTGCTTTTCAGACGACAGGGTTCAGACTTGTGCTTTTTAGACTGAGAGGGTTAATTTTTTTCAGTATTTTTTTTTATTGGTTCAGATAATGTAGTTTCACTGTATGGATATATACTTCTCACAGTTATCTTCGTAAGAAACCACATATAGCTAACATCTTACCAACTGTGTCTACTAACACCAGGTTGCATGATATCATTGATGAATCTTTCCACACAGTGGAATGAAATGGACTTTCAACACTTGCAACACTTCTTTGAGTTGCAACACCTTAACCAATGAAAGATATTCTTAATTTCCTTCTGAACCCGGAGAGACGGACCTACGCCAGAGTTTGTGATGGAGGTCACCGACAAAACCAGGGCAGATGTCAAGGTAGACAACTCTTGATTGTCAAGCTAACCAGACACACTCCAAACAAAATGTATCTCAGTTCAAACACTGTCTGCTATCCAGTGTATTATGTCTCCAGGCTGTTATGATGGATACACAGAACCCATTCGACACCTAAATTAACTTCTTCTGAAATGTCACGATGTTCAAAATACAAAATAACCATTCAACCAAACTATCCAGATGAATGAGAGACATTCCGGGACATGGTGAGATAGCATCCAAAACAAAGCTATGGTACCATTAGAGTCTAAAGCACTTGAACAGAATACATTGGATATTATATTTTAGGGTAAGATCAAGACAAAAATGTAAACTGCAGACTGGGAAAAGGTCTGTTCTTTGTTTCCAAGTTATATTTAATATTATGAAATGCTGGGTGAGGGGATGATGGACCAGTGTTCCTGCTCTTAATTTTACACTTGACCCTTCAGGGTGGGACACTGGTAGAATATGAAGGCAAGACAAGGCTTCTGGAAATTGCCCAGGTCCCCAAGGAACATGTGAGTAGTAATGTCAGCTCCAGATTTAACAATGAGTACATTACTTATGTAACAGTGATTGCATTGTTTATGTAACTGTGAATACATTACTTATGTAACTGTGAATGAATTTCTTATGTAACAGTGAATGCATTATTTATGTAACTGAATGAATTTCTTATGTAACAGTGAATGCATTATTTATGTAACTGTGAATGCATTTCTTATGTAAAGTGAATGTATTATTTATGTAGCTGTGAATGCATTAATAATGTAATAGTGAATGCATTAATAATGTAATAGTGAATGCATTAATAATGTAATAGTGAATGCATTATTTGTGTAACTGTGAATGTATTCCTTATGTAACAGTGAATGTATTATTTATGTAACTGTGAATGCATTACTTATGTTGGATGCTTATGTATCCATCAGGTATTCACTATCGTTGTGATATGTATAATTGTATTTTATGTTTGTTTGTTTTTGTTGCTCTATAATTATCATAGGTTTTATTAACATACTGCTTCATTATTTCTACAGGTTGATGAATTCAAGAGTGTAAGCAAATTCAAGTAAGTAAATTTTCTGTAAATCAGAATCATTTGTTTTGTTACATGCATAATCAGTTTTAATGAAAACATCACTTGTAACCACACAACTGTGATAATTTGACATTTCTAAGTGACAAAAGTGACATTTGAGACTAGACTAGTTGTACGATGGAGTTGAGGTGGTTATCTGACCATGCTGACCGTGTGGCAACATGCCAATTGTTTGTCATGGGCTACAGCAACAGGCTGTTGTAATGTGGCAGTCATATTGTTGACAACAGTGTGAACAAGATATATCTAATCTTTATAACTGATATTATAGGGTTGTCCTTATGTTTCACTTCACTTCTGTATTTTAATATTCAGTTAGTGCATGACTTTAGTTCTATTCCGCTTTTAGCAATATTCCAGCAATATCATGGTGGGGAACACCAGAAACATTGCATCCATGTGGGGAATCGAACCCAGGTCTTCGGCAAGGGGATGCTTTTACCACTAGGCTACCCGACAGCTCCTTTTAATATTCAGAGTTTTGGGCAATAATCATTTTAAAATAAATTTACTCAGCTCAGTATTTTTTATTCCATTTAACATGACATTGTGGTATGGACGAGTTCACGGAGGGAAATTACTTGGGAATTTGTGCTGGATGTTGATGTTTTAGAGTGCAGGTATTTAGTGGTTAATTCTTCTACATTTCTAATCCATACAAATTATATAAATAGAACACTCGAGAAAAATACATTGTATTTATATCATGTATATCATTTGCTTTCGTCTCCATTCAGATAGTCCACAATGAATGAAGTCTATTATTCACAGTATAATAGTGCTCTAAATAACATTTCCTTACAGGATTTTCAATACAAATAACTTATGGATGAATCTAGATGCTATCAAGAGGATTATAGAAGAGAAAACACTACACATGGAGATCATTGTCAACCCAAAGGTAGGGCGATTAACTTGTATTTCCTTCCATATTGTGCATGTGTTCCTGGGTTTCGCTGTTGAAATACTGATGTTGTATTAAAACATTCCTAATGTGATATTATACAATTATAGACTCTTGTAGAGGTCGATATCGGTTTTTATTAACCTGAGTAAAACAATATCGTCCGAGCTTGCGAGGTTGATTGTGACAATGGAATGATGTCCTATAGGTATTCCTAATGTCATATCAGTGATTGTTATTGTGACAATGGAATCATGTCCTATAGGTATTCCTAATGTCACATCAGTGATTGTTATTTTGACAATGGAGTCATGTCCTGTAGGTATTCCTAATGTCATATCAGTGATTGTTATTGTGACAATGGAATGATGTCCTATAGGTATTCCTAATGTCATATCAGTGATTGTTATTGTGACAATGGAGTCATGTCCTGTAGGTATTCCTAATGTCATATCAGTGATTGTTATTGTGACAATGGAATGATGTCCTATAGGTATTCCTAATGTCATATCAGTGATTGTTATTGTGACAATGGAGTCATGTCCTATAGGTATTCCTAATGTCATATCAGTGATTGTTATTGTGACAATGGAATCATGTCCTATAGGTATTCCTAATGTCACATCAGTGATTGTTATTTTGACAATGGAGTCATGTCCTGTAGGTATTCCTAATGTCATATCAGTGATTGTTATTGTGACAATGGAATGATGTCCTATAGGTATTCCTAATGTCATATCAGTGATTGTTATTGTGACAATGGAGTCATGTCCTGTAGGTATTCCTAATGTCATATCAGTGATTGTTATTGTGACAATGGAATGATGTCCTATAGGTATTCCTAATGTCATATCAGTGATTGTTATTTTGACAATGGAGTCATGTCCTGTAGGTATTCCTAATGTCATATCAGTGATTGTTATTGTGACAATGGAATGATGTCCTATAGGTATTCCTAATGTCATATCAGTGATTGTTATTGTGACAATGGAGTCATGTCCTGTAGGTATTCCTAATGTCACATCAGTGATTGTTATTGTGACAATGGAGTCATGTCCTATAGGTATTCCTAATGTCATATCAGTGATTGTTATTTTGACAATGGAATCATGTCCTATAAGTATTCCTAATGTCATATCAGTTACTGTGACAATGGAGTCGTGTCCTGTAGGTATTCCTAATGTCATATCAATTATTGTGACAATGGAGTCATGTCCTGTAGGTATTCCTAATGTCATAGACCGCCTCCGTTGTGTAGTGGTTAGAGCGTCCGCCCAGACAGCGGAAGTTCGCGGGTTCGATCCACGACCGCTTCATACCAAAAGACGTTAAAATATGGTACTTGTTGATCCCTGCCTGGCGCTTGGCATTAATGGGTACATCAAGGACTGGTCGGCTCAGAGTCAGTATAATGTGTCTGAGTGGGGTATTCCTGCTTCACTGCGGCATGGTATCTCAGTGGGCTAGCACTATAAATCCAGCTTCAGTCTGGGCTAGTACAAGCAGGCACACATACACATACACACACATGCACGTCGTCATATGAGCGAAATATTCTCAAGCACGACGTTAAACCCAATTTCACCTCACCTCACCTAATGTCATATCAGTGATTGTTATTGTGACAATGGAATCATGTCCTATAGATATTCCTAATATATTTCGTGTTTGAATTTGGTAGTAGCCTTGTGCATCAAAAGAGTCAACTTAATGAATCAGGAGTAGAGATTCAATGACTTTACTGGGAGATTCAATGACTTTAACCCGATGACGTCTCAGGTTCTCTGCTTGCTGATGCAGATTATGTTCAGGTTGATTGATTTATGTCTCAATTACTGACTGAAACTCACAAAATTCACTGCTATTTAGACATAAATAGTACTTTGTATAGATTTGGATTGTGTGTCTGTAATTGAATTTGCTTATCTCACAGACTCTCGACAATGGCACCAATGTTATTCAACTGGAGACAGCTGTTGGAGCTGCCATCAAGAGCTTTGAAGGAGCTATAGGTAACCATGGCAACTGTCCTATAAGCTGCTTTCTCTTACATATTCAGTCCTGAATGATTCCACTGCTCCTGAGTATCTAAGGTGCCTATTTTCGTACAAAACTTCAAACAGAACTCTTCGATCCAGCAGTGCTTTGAATGATCTTGCCATCCACAGAACCACTACTAAAATGGGGGAAAGGTGTTTTACAGTTGTAGCCCCAGCCTTGTGGAATGAACTTCCAGCTGAACTGAAAAGTGCAAAATCAAGGGATTCATTCCAAAAAAAACCTTAAAACACACCTATTCAGACAATATTTTAGCTTTGAATCCTCGACTCCCCCATATTCAGCATCTTAGCTTTTACTGTCATTTTAAGCATCACTGGGTTTTTTCTAATCATTGTGTAATTTTTCTGTAAAGCGCCACTGAGCAAGAAATAACCTGGATATTGGGCGCTATACAAATAAATTGTCATTCATTGTCATTCATTCATTCACTCACTCCTTGCAGCTTATGTTTTCATATTACTCCATCCTTGGAGAGGTCAAGTAATGTGCAATACTCTGTGCAGAGTTGTGTCCCTTGAACTGCATGTGGGTTTGAATTCTGGTTTGTCCCAGTAATGTTTCTCATCAGCACCATACCCCTTGTTGTTGTTTTTACAAAAGTGATAAATGTACATCACTTCAGGACTCCAACATTAAGCTGACATACCATGAGGACATTTCAGGACAGTAAAAGGTGGCTATAAATCTAACTCACACCAAAACCATTGTATGTGTTGATGTAGAATAAATGGAAGATGTGATACAGGTAACAAAGATACACGTACATGATTCACTAGGAGTTTAGACCCATGAAGATCCGGGTTAGAATTGGTCTTCAGTAACCCATGCTTGTCGTAAGAGGCGACTAACGGGATCAGATGGTCAGGCTCGCTGACACATATCATTGTATCCAAATTGCATAGAACGATGCTCATGCTGTTGATCACTGTATTGTCTGGTCCCGACTTGATTATTTACAGACCACCGCCATATAGCTGGAATATTGCTTAGTGCGGCGTTAAACAACAAACCAACCTACCACTGGGAGTTATTAATGTAGAATCTAATTATTGCTTTGGTCCCTGACAAATCTGTAAATGTCTGTAAAAGTTTTGCCTCAGATGTATATTAATTTGTGTTGTCTCTGGTAATTCATGTATGATTAAGTGTGTGCATCTTACATCATGTAACTAGGTATAAACGTGCCGAGGAGTCGGTTCCTTCCCGTGAAGACATCCTCGGATTTGCTGATAGTAATGAGTAACCTGTACAACATGAAGACAGGGGCCCTGGAGATGAGCCCCAAACGTTGTTTCCCCACCGTGCCCCTGGTCAAACTTGGAACACACTTTACAAAGGTAGGCCAATAGGACTGGCAACAAAACACAAACTGATGCTCTTCAAATCTGGTAGATATATTTTAGAACCCTCCCCTGTGAAATCTATTTGCTAAACAATCTCCTTACAATCACTTTTACTCTGATACCATAACTCTCGGCAAAGTAACCTAGCAATCATTTCACATGTCAAGACTGGAGAACTCTGTAATTACCTCAGGAGGATTCTGGGATAGAGAAGGTCCCCACAACCTTAGCTGGTCGTAAGAGGCAACTAAGTGGATTGGGTGGTCAGACTTGGATAATTGTTTGTCATCCCACTACGATAGTGTGGAATGTTGATTAAAACAGATCACTGGATTATCTGATCCAGATTTGATTATATAACAGGCTGCTGTTAGATGACTGGAATATCATGGAGAGTGAGGTTGGCCAGATTTGCACCTACTTTTTCACTACTTTGTATTATCTTATGATTAATATTTCTTTTGAAGTCTTGTAAATCATAACAATTTGTTTGATCCCAGGTTAAGGACTTCTTGTCCCGGTTCTCCAGCATTCCCGACATAATGGAGCTGGATCACCTCACAGTGTCGGGCGATGTCACCTTCGGCAAGAATGTCAGCCTAAAGGTACGTACTAGCTCACCAAACAAAGATCGTGGATGGAAGGATGGGTGGGTCGGTGGGTGGATGGATGGATGGATGGATGGATGGTCATTAGCTTTAGAAGTTTAGCCACTAGTCCAAAGCCAGATTTGATTAAAATTCTGTTCTAGGATGCTTGCCAGTAGATACTGGTATATTAACACTTTAGAAACTGATGTTCAAAGCATGATCAGGATAGTAGACATTTTGGGCACGGACTGCATCAGTGTATTGATGCATTGCAAATTTACCCCTCTATGCATGTACGTGTTCATACTTTAAATCTGTTGATTTTGCAAAACCTAAAATTTACTGTCCTGATAACCACATGAGCACCTTACCAAGAACAAACTGCTAAACATGATTAGATAGCAGTGTCAGACCAAACGTCAATAAACCATCCATGCATGATGATATCAGCCAACTTCTTTCAGAGGCATTTTAGAAGTTGTAAAGATAATAGGAAAACCAAGAAGTTAATTAATCATAGAAGGGCGGTGGGGGTAGCCTAGTGGTTAAAGCGTTTGCTCATCACGCCGAAGACCCGGGTTCGATTCCCCACATGGGCAAAATGTGTGAAGCCCATTTCTGGTGTCCCCCCGCCATGATATTGCTGGAATATTGCTAAAAGCGGCGTAAAACCAAACTCACTCACTCACTATCAATAGAACTTGGTTTTCCTTCAGTTTCAGCCAAGTATATATTTTAGCCTTTTGTATGAAGGTGTGCAAGGGTCTCTTCAAGTCATGTCCCAGGAATTTTTGAATGAAATTTAGTCAATCGTAAATGTTTTTTCCATTTTATTACCAGGGAACGGTCATCATCATAGCGAACCATGGTGAGAGGATAGACATCCCAACTGGTGCCATCTTGGAAAATAAGATAGTATCCGGCAACCTCCGTATCCTCGACCATTAAGATGAAGAATTAGAATTATTGTTTTTGATGGCACTACCATGCTAAGCCTATAAGTGTGCAAATTGTATATAATGTCAACTGTCCATACACTTTCAACAGATAAGATATCCAGTGTTGTGTGAAAATGGGTTCTTGGATAAATTATACAAATGGGGTCAGTTTGGGTATCATTTTTAATCACATTTCACTTATAAGTGGATTTAGGGAGTGAAAATATAACAATGTAATTGTTAGCATGAGTTTGTTGTGTGGTTGTTTTGGAAAGAATGTTTATGAATATATGACAGTACATTGGTGTAATAAACCAGATGAGCTTGTAATATAATATAGAGATAGAATCTCTCCAAGGTGTCTAACAAATATGACTATATTCCTCCCTCACATAATGAGATCAAGAAAACCATTTCTCAATAAAAGCAGTCAAACAGGCTTTAGAATATTTGTAACACTCTATGTAACATGGTTACATAAATTTGACAAGTCATACGACTGCCTTTGAAGTATGGACAATCTAGGCATAAAACCGATTTCTACAAGCTTAACCCCCAAACTGTATATCGCTCTGAAAGAATATCACGTTATTATTGACTCTCATAATCATATGAAATATTGTTGTTTTCATGGCCAAATGAGCAGAAATGTATTGACCATACTCCATGTAACCGGTGTATGAAATAAGCCAATAACCCAGCCAGAGATCGTAACTGCAATATGTTACCAGCCCAAAATGGATTTAACCAGACCAAATATGGTGAATTTACTCAGATGTATGGAACATCTAAAATTTAGCCATCAGGGCCCCGTTCCTCAAAGCAATCGTAGCGCTACGACAGTCGTAAGTCTATGTTAAAGTATGGGAGTTACGACTGTTGTAGCGCTACGATCGCTTTGAGGAACGGTGCCCAGGGGTGGCTAGCTGTAACTTTAGACCATCCGTCAGACATCTAGACCGTCTCGGTCGGGCGGTCTGACGGGCCTTATTTCATACACTGATGTAACAGGTGAGAATTGGAGGCTATTTATATCCTTATATCAAGAGTATTCAGAAGCACAATCATGCAAATTAACAAATGTATATTTACAACTGACTTGGCATTACATGAAGGTAGTTTATTTCGGGGAAATTGTAAGTATGAAATAATAGGAACAAGTGTGACATGAAGCCTTCCACACAAGGGGTAGTCTGTTGGAGATGTTTGGTAGAGTTGTTTGGTAGCTGTTTCAGAGGATCTAGTCCGGACTTTCCTATAGAAACACTCCATGATCCTTGCAGTTCTTTCTCATGACAGTGTTACCCTGTAACATACAATATCTGTATTATTTTACACTGAATTTACATGTATTTGTAGATTCCTTTAAACTGTGTTCCATGTCAGGCTGTGTTTATCACAAATGTCTCATATACAGATATTTTCTTCCCGGTTGAAGATGTGCTAGTATTAACAGAACTATCTCTTCACACGTTCTAATTGCACCTTTTTAGAACTATCTGGAATGTCTTACCAGAATTTCCTAAATATCCCTTTTCTTTATTGTTCTGCAATATTTATTCATCAGGTTATAAAATATACAGCTGTTTTACCATGAAAGTCGGTTTCATTGGTTGATCTCTCCTTTCAAGATTACATCTGTAAAGCCCATGTGTTACCAGTAATTAATGCTCTGCTGATACTTCAGTCACCGTATTTCCTCTACCAGACACCCAGGTGTCTATTAGTGTAGGGCAAGCTGTAAACAATGAGCCTCGTTCATGCTAGTCCAGTTGCAACTCACAACCCGGTAACAGTAAATTCTAGATATGCAGCTGCTGAAAATCACCTTATTAAATCACTAACTTATCATCAAATGATAGACCCAGTGTCTAATAGAGGAAATGTGGTATTTAGACATATCGGAGGGTTGCAGTTTGATGTGTGCATACATGTTATAAAGCGTACCGACTTATTTCTTGAACATACTTGTTCTTTACAACAATATATATAATAAACACCCCATGTTTTAGCATGTAAATTAAGTTGACTATCGTTCTTTTATTTCTGTGACAACAGCTTGCTTTAAGTTTATGTATAGATATGTAAATCAGATAGATAGGTATTTATACAAGATTAAATCTTGCAACATGCTAATACGGTATTCCCTGACTTTCACCTGTCAACATTTGCATCAACTCGTATGTTCATGATGCAGTATTGTATATGGTAATGGCAACCTCTTGTCCCCACAAACTGAGTTTATTGCTGTATCAGCAGAACAGGGGACTAGCCATAGTCATGTCATAGACTAGAACACTGACAGATCTGTCTAAAATGTAATTATGTTGGTTATTCAATAGTTATACCCACATTGTTGTAGGTGTCTGATTCCACAGTTAGGTCATGAGTCCTCCCAGGTGAAGCTGAGGTGATCTCACAACCCAAACTGTAGTGATATCTAAGACCACAGAGAATTAATTTCTTGTTTCTCATTAACACCCAACCCTAATTTTTAAAACATTTTTTTGCACTGGTAAATTTTCATGTATAAAGCCGGCAGACTTCAGAAATCCATCTCAGCTTCCAGCATTCCAAGTTTTCGACTAACATTGTAGAGAAAATAAGAAAAAAGAATATTCAAACTAAGAATAAAATTTTCCCTACCTACACATTTATTTAAAAAAACAAGGGGTGAGAAACAAGAAATTATTTTATGTGGCCTAAGGATGCACTGAAGCAGCGAGATTATGACCGACTGCTTGCAATGAACCTAATCACAATGAATTCATTTCGGGACACCTACATGACCCTGTGAGAGACATCGTATTTTTCAATACCCCAGTCCCGGTTGTTGTGGTATAAAATTGGTTGTGCAATCGTGTCATTTGAAATATATATTCACAGCATCAGTATCATTGATATCACAGTCTAAGTGACATGATATGATAAACAGTGGCATGTGTCAATCTCAATAAACCCAGTGAAGTAAAACCAGATACATTTACAGAACAGGACCTTCATCCATTGCAGTGTTTTACAAGCTTCTTTGTTCCACTTGTGATGTAATAATGGATTGTGTTTGCTTGATTTGTGACATTGTAAAAACAATGGTTGTACTTGAAATTTCTGTTTATTTTACAAACAGCTTATTGCGAAATTAAAAATTAACAATTGTGAGTACTTGGGAATAGACTTTCAAAATAATTTACAGTAAAACACCTTCATACTTGAGAACTTTACTTAAAAGAAATTTTCACATTTTTATTTTTATTAATGCCTTTCAAAAACTACATTTTTTATTGTCAAAACAGACTGGATTTGTTTGGCTGTACATACATTTTAGTTGCCTTATGAAGTAATTATGGAAGTCTGAACAAAATCAGAGATCCATCTTTTTTATCACAATAAAACATCCCTATAGAGTCTGCCCAAACATTCATGTAAAAAAAAAGATTGTTGACAGTTCATGTTCACAGATACCTTGATCTGTTCATCAAGGCAATGCAACCCACCTCCACTGTTTTTCTAATGAATTACGTAATGCATCCCAATTGTGCTATTTTTAAGAATATGCAAAAAGCTGCTAACACGTTCAGACACTGTGTTAGGTTCAACTATTGTTTCGACTATGGTGTAGAGAAACTTTTGCCATCTCACTTACACTGTAAGGTTGGCTGTTGATCATGGTGAACTATATGCTTGGGTTTTGATAGGAATCATTTATGGGAACTGGTTTGTGAGGGATTTCTTTCAGATGTAATAATATTACTTGTTGCTTGGATTCTGGTGAAGTCTGCGTGGGGCTTGGTATATCAAATGTAAATAGGTGCTTCATTATTAGCTGGGGGGCGATTCCTTATACTACAGTAATATAAGGTTACAACAGAAATTCTTCTAATTCACACACAGTTCCAAATATATGGGTAATGACATGCTCCTAGCCAGATGAGTACATGTTTAGTGTCTGCCTTCAATGTGTATTATATGTGCCATATTTTTGCAACATGTTGGAGCACAGATGGCCCTTTTGTCAAAGGTGCTGCAATTTGCTGTGCACAGTTGTGTCCTTTAGGTCCTCCAGAATCCCATATTCGGCGAATCTAATTCCCGATTCGCCCTGATTATGTTTTAGGTTTGTCAGCAGCCTGGGATTACCTGAAATGGTAAATTTCCAAAACCTGCATCACTTCGGGCTGTCCTCGGATGTCCAGCTGACGCCATATGATATTACTCTCTCAAACGATCATGATGATCCCTTCTATCAATGCCGCTGTTGTACGCATGTTAAAGTGTACTATATATGTATAAAGTGTACAACGAATCCTGCAGCTATGATTTTAACATCAGAGTAACTGTTGCACTAAGGTGATACATATTACTACAAAAAAAGTTAGGACCACTTGTTCAATCTTCCATAGCCTGAGAAATGTATACTAACAAAACAGATTAAGAAACACTTGATTCTTTCCTACTATGGGGTGGTGGGGTAGTCTGGTGCTTAAAGCATTGGCTCATCCGCCCAACACCCAGGTTTGATCCCCACATGGGAACAATGTGTGAAGCCCATTTCTGGCGTCCCCCCACCGTGATATTGCTGAAATATTGCTAAAAACGGCGTAAAACCATACTCTTTCCTACTGTAGTTAAAGCTATGACAGATAACTACAGCAATGAGGAAGAATCCTGTATTTGTGTAGTAACTGGTCATTGTGTCGGAAAGGTTCTAGCCAGTCTCATTCAGTTCACTTGTTGAGACAGAGAGATCGAATCTGAGTAAAAGATTTTGTTACTGTAAATTAACAGCTTTCAATGCATTCCTGCGTACTGTCACTTGCAGCCAAGTCATCCATCAAACTGATGTAATTATTTTGTATGATCTGTGTGTGATGCTTCCTGAGATCTCCGTGGATGTACTTACAATCAGCTGGTGCAGATGGTACACTCTGTTACCACGTGTGTCCCCCCTCACCAACTTCTGTGACAACAACTTCTTTAGAATGGCAAACACCGAGCAACCTTGTTCTGTTGCATGCAGTGAAAGATTGGAAATCATATAGATATATATTTGTGCCAAATAGGAATAAAAGTGATCCAATGTAAAACTGTTTGTTGTTTCTGTTCACTGCATTACCTGTATGCATGTTATATATTCTAACATCCTGAGTATCACTATGGAATATGTTCACAATAAAACATTTAAAGATATAAAGGCTGAGGATATAATTAAAGGTGACCTAATGTAAACCTGCTTCATGTGAATTAATTGTCGGGGTAAAGATGTGAAATTTTCAATTAAATATCACTAGATGTGATGATTTACCTTTACACTTGTATTTCTTTGCGCTAGACATTGTGGCTACCATGTGAATCTGTCTCATGTAAGCATAGGTCTGAGGTAATCAACAAGCGTGTATAGTGAAATTTCAATTTCACACTTGCAACTCGCACACCTCACAATCCATCAGTCTCAAATGAAATCAAACGGACTGTAGTGCTTGATAGCAAAGATCCGATTGTGGGTGCATGGACACCTGTGCTCAGATGCAATTATTAGATTTTGTGTTAGTGAGCAATTCATTGGTCTCAAATGAAATCAAATGGACTGCAGTGTGCTAGGCCCACGACCGCCGTTATACAGCAGGAATGCTGCTGACAAAACAACATTCACTCACTCACTCTCATTAAACTGCTGTTTACTACAACACATTGACCCTCAAAGAAAGCAGGATGTAAGGTCAAGAGAGGCCAAATGGATATATACCAGCAAACAAACAGACAAAACTTGTGAAAATATGAATATCATATGTTTTCCCTTAACACCAATGTTCATATAAGACCAGCATGGTCTGGTCAACGGATTACAGCCCATCCCTTCTGATATATGGCAGGACGTCTTTTGTAAGTGATTCTGTTACGAAATTTAACAATCCATCCACTGGGTGATCCTCCTCCAGGAGAGATGTCACCATGTCCGAGAGTCCCTCCATGTGTAGACTACTGCAGACACTGATCTTCGGGTCACACTGACCGGCATCACTGGGGAGGACAAGACAAGCCATCAATTATTCTACATAATACATAATAATTTGGGATGATCACTCAAGCTTGCCCAATTCTGTCTGGTATCCTACACCCTACCATGCACTACACCACCTCTCTGTACTTTCATGCAGGCCAGCCACCATATAGCTGGCATATTTCTAAGTGCAGTGTTAGCAACAAACAAATTTCATGCAGCCAAATGCTGACTCTCTACACACAGGCAAGGATGGGGATTTTATTACACTTCATGTGGTTTGGTTAGCAAAATGTGAAACTCGAGATGCTGTTACATGTGACCATGATAAATATATTACTGAGTGATACACATTATTTCCAAACAGACTTGGATAAGTCTAGACTCATCTATACATGTCTGACAATTCCAGCTAATGTGCACATCTACTAAGCAAAATAACACTGAGTTTTTAACACAATAGAAACCCACACAACCCACAGGCTATGCTCATATAGCTGGAATATTGCTGAGTGATGGATTAACTGACAAACAGCTGGTGGTGGTATGTAGTGCAGGATTCAATGACAAACAGCTGGTGGTGGTATGTAGCGCAGGATTCAATGACAAACAGCTGGTGGTGGTATGTAGTGCAGGATTCAATGACAAACAGCTGGTGGTGGTATGTAGTGCAGGATTCAATGACAAACAGCTGGTGGTGGTATGTAGTGCAGGATTCAATGACAAACAGCTGGTGGTGGTATGTAGTGCAGGATTCAATGACAAACAGCTGGTGGTGGTATGTAGTGCAGGATTCAATGACAAACAGCTAGTGGTGGTATGTAGTGCAGGATTCAATGACAAACAGCTAGTGGTGGTATGTAGTGCAGGATTCAATGACAAACAGCTGGTGGTGGTATGTAGTGCAGGATTCAATGACAAACAGCTGGTGGTGGTATGTAGTGCAGGATTCAATGACAAACAGCTAGTGGTGGTATGTAGTGCAGGATTCAATGACAAACAGCTAGTGGTGGTATGTAGTGCAGGATTCAATGACAAACAGCTGGTGGTGGTATGTAGTGCAGGATTCAATGACAAACAGCTGGTGGTGGTATGTAGTGCAGGATTCAATGACAAACAGCTGGTGGTGGTATGTAGTGCAGGATTCAATGACAAACAGCTGGTGGTGGTATGTAGTGCAGGATTCAATGACAAACAGCTAGTGGTGGTATGGTATGTAGTGCAGGATTCAATGACAAACAGCTACAGCTGGTGGTGGTATGTAGTGCAGGATTCAATGACAAACAGCTGGTGGTGGTATGTAGTGCAGGATTCAATGACAAACAGCTGGTGGTGGTATGTAGTGCAGGATTCAATGACAAACAGCTAGTGGTGGTATGTAGTGCAGGATTCAATGACAAACAGCTAGTGGTGGTATGTAGTGCAGGATTCAATGACAAACAGCTGGTGGTGGTATGTAGTGCAGGATTCAATGACAAACAGCTGGTGGTGGTATGTAGCGCAGGATTCAATGACAAACAGCTGGTGGTGGTATGTAGAGCAGGATTCAATGACAAACAGCTGGTGGTATGTAGTGCAGGATTCAATGACAAACAGCTAGTGGTGGTATGTAGTGCAGGATTCAATGACAAACAGCTAGTGGTGGTATGTAGTGCAGGATTCAATGACAAACAGCTGGTGGTGGTATGTAGTGCAGGATTCAATGACAAACAGCTAGTGGTGGTATGTAGCGCAGGATTCAATGACAAACAGCTGGTGGTGGTATGTAGTGCAGGATTCAATGACAAACAGCTGGTGGTATGTAGTGCAGGATTAACTGACAAACAGCTGGTGGTGGTATGTAGTGCAGGATTAACTGACAAACAGCTGGTGGTGGTATGTAGTGCAGGATTCAATGACAAACAGCTGGTGGTGGTATGTAGAGCAGGATTCAATGACAAACAGCTGGTGGTGGTATGTAGTGCAGGATTCAATGACAAACAGCTAGTGGTGGTATGTAGTGCAGGATTCAATGACAAACAGCTAGTGGTGGTATGTAGTGCAGGATTCAATGACAAACAGCTGGTGGTGGTATGTAGTGCAGGATTCAATGACAAACAGCTGGTGGTGGTATGTAGTGCAGGATTCAATGACAAACAGCTAGTGGTGGTATGTAGCAGGATTCAATGACAAACAGCTGGTGGTGGTATGTAGTGCAGGATTCAATGACAAACAGCTGGTGGTATGTAGTGCAGGATTAACTGACAAACAGCTGGTGGTGGTATGTAGTGCAGGATTAACTGACAAACAGCTGGTGGTGGTATGTAGTGCAGGATTCAATGACAAACAGCTGGTGGTGGTATGTAGAGCAGGATTCAATGACAAACAGCTGGTGGTGGTATGTAGTGCAGGATTCAATGACAAACAGCTAGTGGTGGTATGTAGTGCAGGATTCAATGACAAACAGCTAGTGGTGGTATGTAGTGCAGGATTCAATGACAAACAGCTGATGGTGGTATGTAGTGCAGGATTCAATGACAAACAGCTAGTGGTGGTATGTAGCGCAGGATTCAATGACAAACAGCTGGTGGTGGTATGTAGTGCAGGATTCAATGACAAACAGCTGGTGGTATGTAGTGCAGGATTAACTGACAAACAGCTGGTGGTGGTATGTAGTGCAGGATTAACTGACAAACAGCTGGTGGTGGTATGTAGTGCAGGATTCAATGACAAACAGCTGGTGGTGGTATGTAGAGCAGGATTCAATGACAAACAGCTGGTGGTGGTATGTAGTGCAGGATTCAATGACAAACAGCTGGTGGTGGTATGTAGAGCAGGATTCAATGACAAACAGCTGGTGGTATGTAGTGCAGGATTCAATGACAAACAGCTAGTGGTGGTATGTAGTGCAGGATTCAATGACAAACAGCTGGTGGTGGTATGTAGTGCAGGATTCAATGACAAACAGCTGGTGGTATGTAGTGCAGGATTAACTGACAAACAGCTGGTGGTGGTATGTAGTGCAGGATTAACTGACAAACAGCTGGTGGTGGTATGTAGTGGTGGTATGTAGTGCAGGATTAACTAACAAACAGCTGGTGGTGGTATGTACCTGTGATGAGGCAGCCGGGCTGCTGCTGATATAGTCACCTGTACAGTCAAGCCACTATGGAGTACTGTGAAGCAGAGCTGTTCTACCAGTTGATCAGCTTCAACCCGTGGTGAGTATCTCACATGCTGACAGCAGCACCCATCGTCTCCAGCATCTGCAACGTGAAGTACACATCTTGTTGATGTTTAACATGCCATGCAACACCTACACAAGGAAACTGTCTAACTTGAAGACATGAAACCTTCTCATGCTACTCAACAGAAGTTAAAGAACACCTCTGTTTATTTCAGATGAATGGAAACTAGACAAACATGAATGATACATCCCAATATTCATCTATTGTAATCTTTGTCTGACCATTCTAACTCGCTCTCTCTCTCACATTGTGTGCAAGTGGGCCTAGAGTGCGTATGCGTGCGCACACACACACACACACACACACACACACACACACACACACACACACACACACACACTAAAATTTAATGTATAAAGTAAGTGATTCCCCCTGCATGTCATGTCAAAGAGCAGGGGAGGTCATGTCATGTGCATGTGTACAAAATTGATGATCCCCCAACCTCCCCAGAACAAAATCATCATCATCATCATCATCATCATAATAATAAGTGCATTTATATTGCGCTATTTTCCATCCATTGCGGTTTCTCAAAGCGCAGGTATCAAGGATAGTACTTAGAGAAGAGATGGGTTTTAAGTTTGGACTTGAAGACAGCTAAAGATGGGGAGGTTTTGATATCAAAAGGAAGACAGTTCCAGAGAGAAGGTGCACAGAATGAGAATGATCTCTGGCCGAAGGATTTGAGATTGGTCCTGGGGATGGTAAATAAAAGTTGATCATTGGATCTCAGGTTTTTGCATGAAGTATATTTCTGGAGAAGTTCTTTCAGATATCCTGGTGCAACATCATGGTAACAGCTGTAGGTCAGGGATAACACTTTGAACTCGATTCGAGCTTGTACTGGGAGCCAGTGGAGATTCATCAATATTGGTGTTACATTGGATGTTTTCTTGCAGCGATGAATTAGCCGAGCTGAGGCATTTTGTACTCTCTGAAGCTTCATGAGTAGATCTTGCCTTATGTTGATAAGCAAACTGTTGCCATAGTCAATCCTGGACAGAATCAGAGACCTGACTAACTGGCTAGTGGCTTCCTGAGTCAACAAATGTCTAATCTGGTCAATACTTCTCAGGTGGTAGAAGCAGATTCTACAGGTGTGCTCTATATGGTTGTCCATTGTCATATTAGAGTCTAGAAAGACACCACTAGCCATATATTATGAACGGTCCCATAGAGAGTTCGCTGTGAACACTATTCCAGTCATACCACGACGTATCAGCTCAATGTGAGATGAACATAATGCAGGTCTTGGTCATTTATTACTTTGATGAAAGCCACGGGTATGGTGCTGGCAAACCAAGAAAGATAATCTGTGGAATCTGATTTGAACCACTGACCATAAGTTTCTGGTGTGCCTGAGGGATGCAACTATGCACAACAAATCACGATGCCTTTGACTGGGTCACTCGTGCCCCCTGCATTTTAACATGTTAAAGAAAACACTTCCACTGCTGACTGAACACTACAACTGTCATGAATAATTCTGAAAGATGGTGACACTATATCTGAAAAACAAACGCTGATACAAGTCCCAGTTTCTGTATAGCGTGTACATGGCTATGTTCAAGTAAATAAGCAAAATTACAAACTCCAAATATGTAATTTTCTGATTAAAATTGATATTTTATACTTATTCTGACTCATGTTTCATTGCTTGTCTCCTTCCTCTTGTGAACTATAGTGGAACACTTGATTCCCTTTTGAAACTTCCTTCAAAAAAGCGGACGTAATATCACTCACCCCACGAGTTGCCTCCCTTTGCTATTTGGCGCCCAAACCCGTCACATGATCAGACATGCTCTTCACTCTCTCCTTCGCCCTAGAGGACAGTTGTGAGAGCGCCTGGGTCCCATATACGGCATTATATCCTTATGATTGAGTGAGTTGGGTTTTATGCCACTTTCAGCAATATTCCAGCAATATCGGCAGGGAGCACCAGAAATGAGCTTCACACATTGTTCCTATGTGAGTAATTAAAACCGACATTAATCTGTGCACTTGGGACACAATGACATGTATTAACAGAGTCAGCAAGCCTGACTAGCTGATAATATTAGCCACCTCTTACAACAAGTATGGGTCGCCGAAGACCAATTCTAACCCAGATTTTCACAGGTCTTTGGAGACATTGAACCAAACAAAGCAAAATGTTTTATTATTTCTCTGTACTAGACATAGTGAAGAAACACATGCTTATTTCAACCAGGACCGTCAAGTTTTGAAAGGGAAGAGGCCTCACACTGTTCTTACCATCACCACCTGCTAACTTCTCCAACTGTGTATACCAGGCATACAGAGCTCCCCGTCTGTCACTGGCTGGGGCTTGTAGAAGAAGAAAAAGTGACAGTTTCATCAAATAATCACAAGACATAACTGAAATGAAGCACTTCTAACCTAAATCTACTGAAGTATTTGCCACGAAGCATGTCATCCCAACTGGCAGCCCCAAGCCAGAAGTTGAGGTGATGAAGAATGATGATAATTTTACAGATATACAACTTCTTTATTGAAACGTCACCTTTTACAGAATAAAGAAGTTGTAGATCATGCTTATAGCAGACATATTTACCCAGCATTTACAAGAGTGTGCATATCAAACACGCTGGTAAGTACTCTAGGCCCACTTGCACACGATGATCTTAGTGCATTGATTATCATTAGTCTATGTTAGAGTATGGGCTTTATGATCATCGTAGTGCTAAGATCGTTCTGTGCAAGTGGACCCTGTTCTTATTCATGGCAAAAATATTACAACTCCAGCACAGATCTACAGTGTGCAACATTTATGCTGATCCTGTGGTCCCTGGCGAATTCATAAGGACCACTAAATGATAAGTTCGCAGTGGTCCTGGTGGCCAGTGAATTTATATTGATAGTTAAAGCTTAGATGCAACCAACAAAATAAACATAATTAAAACACAATTATCATTTATTCATGACATATAATATACATTGCTGATTATGAAAAAACAAATAAACAAAATTATAAGCGTACAATCACAAATCAAAGTGCAATATTTACGCACAGGGCTTTTTTGTGTGTTATAGGCATCCCGGCTCATGCACTATGTGCGCAGCGCAGCACAGCTGTTGAAACAACTTTTCACCCCTTTATAAGTTGAATTTGCATTTTTGATAATTTGTTACTGTAAGTCCATACTGAAAGGTATCAGAATCTGCAAAGTTGTGTTTTGCATTGCATGTAAGCTTTAAGTAAATGTAGAATGTTATTTTGGACCAGTGAGGTACAAGAGGAACAACTAGACAACTCCTTTTTAGCAATAGCTGCAAGGTCTCAGTGTAGGTCCTAACACCGTTATCAAGCAAATGGTGTTAGGACCTACACCTAAACGGCGCATCTACTGCAACAAAGAAGTTGCCCATCCATATAAAGTGTTCCTCTTCATCATACCAACTTCTAAATGTCTCTTAAGGAAGTCAGTGAAGTACATTCTGTGTTGAGTTGTTCACTAATTATTGTCCACTAACTCGTCCTGAGGTCTAGTGGGAAATTTTGAAAGGTTTCTTTCCCTGGATCTAAAGACGATATTGCAGTCCATATTTGTATGTGATATTACACAATTTACAGTAAATACAGCTTTTCAAAGGGAATGAACATTAAACATGAAGACAGGAGTTCTGGTTTCCATTTATTTTTATAGTGAAAACATTACCACTAGCATGTAAAATATAATGTAGATCTATCTCTCACTTGATCTCAAATTTAAAATCACATTGCAGGGGTGGAAATAACTTTAAAATTGATAGTGTACTCCGGTATAGTGGCACATGTAAAGTCACTAGCCCTGATATTTTTTCCAGTATACCGACCGTTTTTTAGCTGATTTTTTAAATAAACAACATAATTAACATTGGAAAGTCAACGAGACACCAGTACAGTGTGATATACAAATTTGCTTGCCCGACAGAAAAAAACACTGGACTCGGACGTCGGGCAATGGGTTATTTCCACCCCTGCATTGAGTGGTATTATTACTGGGTTACCTGTCAGTATGGTGAATACATCGCGGACATCTTCTCTCACCTGTAGCAGGTGAAGCTCGTGATGAAGCTGTTGTTTCTTCACCTCAAGTTTGTGAATCTCCCTCACCAGGGGTAAAACACGATTATATCTGAAGCAAGAACCATCCAAAAGGTGGGTGATGTTGAAGGATGTCATCAAGAATATAAACCAAAGGCTAAACAAACAGGTGACTGAACTAGAGATTTGAAATGAGTGCTAAAAAGCAACTTTGGTAATTGGGTCTGAGGAAGACTAGTAGTGACGTACTGCCTACTGTAAGACTGCCCTTGTGATACATCAATTACGTAAACTATGACCGGGAGTGATTATTGCCACTTCAGCAATCATTCATCTTACAGTAGTATATAGGCAATTATCTTACCTCACACATAAATGTCGCTTTCTGATTGAAAATAATAAAAGAGCGCTCAGCCAATGTACCCCACTTATAGTTTGGCATGAAATGCATGTAAATATCTCTTCATCCAATGACCCAGTCGATCTCAAACTGTGCAAACGGATGTTTTGTCAGACAACCTAATCACATTGTAAATCACCGATTTTATGCATTTGTATTAAAGAATCTGTCTATGTAACTGTCAACAAAATAAACAGCAGAACGCAGAATGCTTGCACAGGAAGGGAGTCAATGACCTGTAACAGCAGCAGTGTTGGGTCATAAAGGTCAATGCACGTGCAGTTCATGAAAGTTAACTGTGCACTGCACAGTGATAGACCGTTTGGATCATTCACATTGACTACTTCTAGCTGTCATCATGAAAGCTTATTCAGATGATGCTAAACGTTTAATTAGAAATGTGTTGAATTTTTTTTAAAAAGAGAGCAAACGTAGCAAACAGATTTATAAGGTGTCGGATTACATGAAACGCATTAACTTTTTGCTCTTGGCATGAAAAAAAGAACATCGTGCTAAAAATTGTGAAAAATAAACCAACAACCAATAAACAAAACCTTGTACAAAAAGGTAGGCATCCAAAGTTAGATTCTTTTGATATCAGGGTCATCAGAGATGTCATTCGCCGGCTATTTGCAAAATTTAAAGATTTTAACCTACAGAATAATTCTCACTAATGGGTTTTGTGGTTAATGTTGTACAACTCAGAGAAACAAACTCCGTATGATGGTTAACAGTTTGCACCCACCTTACCCTATTCACGACCTGTGACACCTCTTCATACCTGTCACGTGCATAGCTGACCTACATTGACGAACGTTGACCTTTATGACCCAACACTGCCACTGTTAGAGGTCATTGGCTCCCTCCCTCTGCAAGCATTCTGCGTTCTGCTGTTTATTTTGTTGACAGTTACATAGACAGATTCTTTAATACAAATGCATAAAAGCGGTGATTTACAATGTGATTAGGTTGTCTGACAAAACATCCACTTGCAGAGTTTGAGATCGATTGGGTCATTGGATGAAGAGATATTTACCAAAAAACGGGTCCACATGCATTTCATGCCAAACTATACAAGCGAGTAACATTTCAATGTACCCCACTGTCAATGGCAACTCATTTGGTACTTCGTGGTAGCAATTCTTTATCTCGAATTACATTGAATCACGTACATGATGTACGGAAATTACCAATGTTTTGCGAATGCAAATCGATGTAAGGGAGATAACACTAAATCTGTTTTTCTTGTCAGCAAAATCCAGCGATGGCTCCAAAAAGATTTGTACTCATGCTTCAAACAATTCAAAATTAACATTAAGGTGTTCGGTAAGATAAACACGTTGTTCACTAGTCCCTCGGGGCCCATGGGTTGATGTACCCTCGATGTTTGTTTATGTTCCCCTCACCCTTCAGGGTCAGGGAACATAAACAAACATCGAGGGTACATCAGCCCATGCCATGAAAGGATACCACTTGTTTCGAAATCCAATTAAGAAACAACAAAAACGACTTCAACAAAATATGTTTTATATTTCATTAGCCATAGCATTCATTCCGCATTATTTGAACATAAACACAATTAGAAATAACAATGAGAGAGAGAGAGAGAGAGAGTGTGTGAGTGAGTGAGTGAGTGTGTGTGTGATAGAGAGTGAGTGAGTGTGTGTGTGTGTGTGTGAGAGAGAGAGATAGAGAGAGAGAAATGGATCATAACAATAAAACTGAACAAACAAAGTTTTTCAAAATGCCCGGTACACAATTTAGAGCCATGTACTGCCTCAGTAGCGAGTATGTCCATGACCATTGACACAAGCAACAATACGTCGGCACATGGATGACATCAAGCGTCTAATGACATTGCGTGGAATCTGTTGCCAGGCGTCATTCACGCAGTGTTCCAGTTGTCGCACGTTGACTGGGGGTACTCTTCTGTTCCTAATCAGCCTGTCGAGGTGGTCCCACAAATGTTTGATAGGGTCCATGTCTGGTCAACATGGACGGTCATGTTGTTCAGGTAGTCTCTTGTCGGTCTGGCGGTATGCGGTCTTGCATTATCAGGCTGGAAGACAATGCCACATGGCTGTTGGTGAAGGAATGGAAGGACTACCGGTCGCAGAATGTCATCCCTGTACCTCTGTGCAGTAAGATTGCCATGAATGATGACTAGCCTTGTTTTCAGTTCACCACATATTCCTCCCCACACGATAACTCCACCTTCACCATACGCCGGAACTTCATGGATACAGTTAGGAGCTAAACGCTCTAATAAGTCTGTAGACACGTTGACGACCATCAGCTGTGAATATTCAAAACCTGCTCTCATCCGAAAAGAGGACATGTGACCAGTCTCGGACTGGCCAACGTCGAACTTGTCTTCCCATTGGAGCCTGTTATGCCAGTGTTGTTGTGCCAGTACCACCCCACGGTATGGACGTCATGCTCGAATACCATGTTCACGCAGTTGTGATACTGTCTGTCAACTGATATGATGTCCGTGTGCCTTTGCTGTTGCTGAGATGAAGCGGTTCCTCAGGTGGATTACCCGGATGTAGCGGTCCTCCTCAGGTGTGGTCACACGCAGTCTCCCACTTCTTGGCCTGTCTACTGTCTGCCCTGTCTGGCGGAGATGCTGAAACAACCTGGTGATGCATACCTGGGTGCAGCCAAAGGTTCTTGCGATGAGGGCATGTGAAACTCCTTGTTGGGCCATTCCTATGGCTCTCTATCTCTGTACTGAGCTGAGGCGTGACATTTTTCTTGTGTGCTTTTTCATTCTGTGACAATGCCTTGTGTCATCAGCTGCTTTTATACGTTTTTTCCGCACATGCATTTTGTGATGAGAAATTTGTCATTACACATAAGTAGCCATTACCTTGTCACATGTTTCTGTAAATTTTCCTGGATCTAGGTTCAAAACTAAGATTTTAAAAAGCAAAAATATTTGGGATACTTTCTTTTGGACGGTAGTATATAATCAGTGTTCGCATTAACGCAAAAACCTGCGTGTTTCACGCAAATAAATCTGGATTTCACGCACGATATTTTCTACCTGCGTGTTGTGCACACAAAGCATTTTGTGTTCTAGGAACAAGTAACCAAAAAACATATTTTCCCCAAGGAAACAACAAAATAATATTTCTGGCTCGGACATACACCTGTGGTGCATGCTCAGGCAAGATGCTTGGGAGTTATGCATTTTAGGAACGCAAAGCTTTTTTTGCGAACACTGTAAACTATTATAATTAAACACTAGCAAACATCAAACCAATGAGAAAGCCCTGTACCACACAGCAATCTGAGGCGTCCCCTCGCATACTGTGACTGTGCTAAGATCACTTTGTAGAACAGGTCCCAGTAACCTTAGTTTGTTATCCTTCTGTTTGGATACACCTCAAACACTTCCCTGAAGCCTAGAAGTCAAGAAGACCTTCTGACCAGTAAAATATGTAGTAGAGGCCAAAAATTCAGTGACAGTAACAAAGAAAAATATTTCTTACATTTTCTGGCCATTTAAATCTGAGATGGGTTTCACCTCTTGCTCTTCAACTTCATCTTCCAAGTCAGCTTTCTTTATCATCAACCTCTTTTTTTCCAGCTGAATGACAGATAGATCTTCATAATCCTGAGAGAGAAAATATGTCTCACATGTAAATGTTCCAGTGGTTGAGGATCATTCCAGTATATTCGAGTGTATCATATAGCCACTCTACATGATAAATATAGACCATTTATCACTAGTTCCATTTCAGAAGCGGTATTACCATCTCTATCTCATTCATCACAAACTCAGCACAGAATGTATCCAGCTTGTGAGATTGTAATCAAAAGCCAATCAAAAAGACTCTTATCAATGAGAGCTCGGCACAGATCTAATTTCAAAATTGAGGCTCTGTATGAGTGAGCCTTTTGATTATGTACAAATCTTTAGATTGAATAAGGTCACTGCTAACAAATATACTGGTGATCCAGCTATTATGTAAAATATAGCATTCACAGCTAATACGCATACAAGCTTACATATATTCTTGAAGATCCAATATCAATAATGTCCACATCATGAGCTGTCGTCTTATGTAGAAGAAATGAAGTGGAATTTTATATTAACAACAAATTTGAATAGCATGAGATGTCAACTAAGGCCCACAGTGACTTCATTTTGGATTCAAATTCCAATTATACCATTGAGTCTCTTGAAACGCTATAACAAGCAAATAACAACTTTTAGGTTAACATTGAAGTGTGATGTTATTTTTACGTATAATAGGTGAGAATTAGTTAGGTGAACAGAGAAGATTTAATAGATGTAATGCCGAAGCCCAGACACTACAGCCTGGCTACCTAAGAGACACAATCGTGGTCTACAATCAAGACATGCATCTCTCACCTGCACCTATAGATCTAGCTTGTGTTTAGTTGTATGATGATTTTCTATATTTGGTCTGGCAAAAGATAGACTGAGTAATCATACTACTGTTACCTAGAATTAAATAATAAATTTGATGACTTGTAGAATACAAGGTTCATCCTTTGTAATTTCTTAAGAGCAACTGACGTAGCTGTGCAATCCATAATCGAGATACCTGTTTATTTTTGACTGGCAAATGGCAATAACCAACACGGACGGTTTTACCGAATGCTCTGATCACTCTCTCTGTGTTCGCACCCGATCGAGTTGGTTCCATGGTGATTGAATTAATTAGGGTCAAGAGCTTCACTTATACCGTAGAACACATCCGTCTCATGTAGCATGACGTACAAGAGACGGTAGGCTGTCTCGCGTACACGTAATGTCTCTGGCTGATAAGAGTTTACATTATTTTGTCTATATCAATTCACAGGGGATCAATCTTACCCAGGGAAAGACTTCTGCCTGTATCCCCTCTTAAATTTCATTTTACTTAGTCAAATCATATCACCTGAATCTATATTTCTCATCTGATAAGGATGAGTTTTAACATGTTTCTTTAATTGCATCTGAACATATTGAAAGACATATCCAACGTCTAAAAATGCCACTCAAATAAATGTTCATCGTTAAAATTTAGGGGGCTAGAATGCACTTTACCGGGCACAGCCCTTGCTGCTGGCTGTGGGGCAATTATCGCGGTATAGCACTACCGCACTGTCTCGCTGTATCGCGGTAATTGCCCTGTCTCCCTTCACTTGCCAGTCAACCATCCTTAGAGTTCCGATCCTTAGGGAGCTGACGCATCTTTTGAGCCAAATAACCCTTTACTATCGGTTAGAGGTTTAGGGTAAGGGTATGTCACCCTTTACGTTCCTTAGGGTTAGGGTTGGGGAACCTTTACGATCCTTAGGGTTTAGGGTTAGCACCCTTTCCAATCCTTAGGGAGCTGACGAATCTTTAGAGTCAAACAACCCTTTACGATCTGCTAGAGGTTTAGGGTTAGGGTATGGCACCATTTACGATCCTTAGGGTCAGGGTTTAGGGTTAGGGTTGGGGAACCTTAACGATCCTTTGGGTTTAGGGTTAGCACCCTTTCCGATCCTTAGGGAGCTGACGCATCTTTAGAGTCAAACAACCCTTTAGTTTCTATAACACGTAACACGAAAACGTAATTCATGAAATCGACAATCACATCACCCCTACACACACACATATTTCAGTCTACTTGTAACGTATCATCAAATATTTAAAATTCACATACTCGTTTAGTTTGTGATTGCAGATCTGACAGCCTTTCAAGAATTCCACCTGACATTGCAAATGGTCGGTCAGCTTGGGCTTTTCGAAACTATGGAATCATATAACCCTACACACATTCACAAACAATCCATGTCAACATATTTTGTACGTCGCGCCCAGACCACTTCCTTTAATTTTACCTCGCATGCGGAGTAAGCAGGTTATTTCAAAGGAAGAAATAATATACGAAAAAGGCACAGAGTAAAACGAATTGATAACCCATCTCATGAAACTAATTTAATCTGTACATATTAATACAAATATACGTTTCGCAAGTATAGGTTTAATAGTATCGTGTGGAGTAATTTGCCCAATAGTCTTAAGCGAATTATATTTCGTTTAAAGATCGATTTCTTAATCCTTCTTTTAACTTTTGCTGGTCTGGACTTCCGGTTGAGAAGTGCCCCTGTTTTCTCTACAAAAGATAGATATGCCGAGCAAAAAGAAGAAGTATAATTCAAGGTTTCCCCCGGTAAGAAAACTTTATCAACTTATGTATGTATTATGTTGCTGTAAGAGATATCGTGACCTCCTCAAAACTCACATTTCATGTTTCCAGGCAAGAATAAAGAAGATCATGCAAACGGATGATGAAGTTGGAAAAGTGGCTGCGGCTGTTCCGGTTATTATTTGTATCCTTTGTGGAAAACTCATCTCAGTCATCTAAGATGCTTATTTATTGTTGTTGACTTTATGTTATCCCTGTTATTCTGGAATGTTACAGTAATTCCTGAGCCGCTAGAGAATACCTTACTCATCAGACAACTCATAGTCACCTTCGAACTCCAATAGAGCATTATCGATGTAGAACCTACTTATGAAAACAACATTTATTTGTTATTGATAATCATGTAAATCGTCCAAATACTTTTGAACACCTAGAGATCTATAAATATTGAGGGACAAACATTTATTTCTCCTTACTGCCTGTGAATTGTATGTCATATTTCCTGTTGATAATATGTAAACAAACAGTCATACTTTGCAGAAAACCATGTCATTACCGCAATAACTCATTCCATTAGTTTATGTTATCAAAATACTGTATTGGAACTATATTCACAGTTGGCTCATTGCTCATAAAACATGAAAACTGATGTACTATTCACTAAAAATATCTGAAAACTTAAATGTTCAGTTCAGATAATGTATATCATCATGTTGATAGTTTTTCATCCCATGTAAACATTCTCAGATTCTAAGGCAGTTTTCTCACAGCAAGCATAATTATTCTTATGCAGATGATGAACGATACATTTCATTTGTATCTAATATTTTGTATGCTTGTGAGATGATATTTGATCATTGATTTTGAAAACCCAGTGATGTAGATATCACTTGACCAAAGATTATGCTTATATCATGTAAACATATTATTCACTTTATATCTCTGTGTGAAAGTATTTTTATGTTATTATCTACACTCTTTCAGTATATTGTCTAATACTCTGACAAATTGACAATACCATAAAGTGTTTGTTTAACATTTGTAAAGCGTAACATGTTGAACAATTTACATAGACTGTCATCGAGATGATAATTGTTTTAGGATTTTCTGGAGTGGAACATGCTGAAATCTTTGAATGGCATTTAGAAGTGATACACACAAGGGAGAAATTTATGGATGTCAATTCCTGTAGTATGAGGAGTATATTCGTGTGTATTCTTACTCTCTAATGGATCATGCTAATTATCAGTGATCATATTCCTAATTAAGATGCATTGTTCAGTTTAATATTGGACAATTAACACCTACACCAGCTGCTCTATTCTTGTCAGTATTCAGAGCCTCAGGATCACATTCCCAAGTTTTTGTCATGAATTCATCCATGCACAACCAATGGATTGTTATATCAACAAAGGTCCTTGGTGTCCATGAGTGTTTTGTGTTTCTTTTCAGTCTCAGCTATGAATAAAGGTGTATATATGTCATGATTCACTAATTATTCAGGCTTACCATTATGACTATTAGATTTGCTCAATGTACTAAAGGGATTAATGTTCATCATATCGTGCATGTCAGAAAGTGGAATCATCTTTGTCATAGTAGGATGTGGTAGGCCTGAATAAGATTGTGCATTTTATTATCAGATTATTGCTTTGAATGTGTATCTTAAACTTAAATGAACTATACACTTTTGTGTATGTGGTCAGTTTTAGTGGTGTTCGGAGTAATTGAAATAATTGAAGATTGGTCGAAGTGACCAAACGACCAAGCAATCGATCACATTTTCTCATAATCGAACGCAAACGATTTTGGAACTGCTGGTTTAGTCTCTGAAACACTTGACGATGGAACATATCTTCGAAGTTGACAGGGCCTGAAAACTTGTTTATTTCACAGAAAACTCACATCACTAACTGAAAAGTCATGACTGAATATTTCTTGAAGACTCCAGGAAGTTTATTTTAATGATATATTAGTCATCACTTTAAAGTAGCAAGTTGCATCACGTACATATCTGCAATAACAACCTGGATAGGAAAATCTGAAAAATGATGCTAACCAATTTTTTTCGATGATTGTTCGTTGGTAATGAAGCAATCATCAATTTATGAGATTTCAACCAATTCCCAACACAAGTCAGTTTGCATGAATTATTATTGATTGGGTTGGGTTTAGGTTTTTTGCTATATTTATTTCATTAAGTTATCAGTTTGTTTGTTGATACTTTCTTGTTGCATATTTCTTAACTTTCACCTCAGCCAGAGCTTTAGAGCTCTTCATTGAATCTCTCATTCTTAAGACCAATGAAACTACAACAGCGAAAAATGCAAAAACCCTAACAACATCTCACATGTAAGTATGATCATCTTGATTATGACATTTTGAATGTCACCCAACTTAGCACTGAAATTTGATGTGACAAACTGTTTGACATTTTCAAACTGAACCCACATGATAGCCACGTTACGTCTCTGACTGATGATAGCTTTAATTGTTTTCATTGTTTAATGTGATTGTTTCCACTGCAGTTCTCAAGTACTAGCATGATAATGAAACAAAAGTCATCATTATTATTATGGTGAATGTAAATTCTGATTTCCACATGTCCCAGGTGATAGTACTCCAAGACACATCAGGCAGAGTCGTTATGTCAAAGTGATCGTAATTTCATCAAGTTTGATTTGTTTGACTGTAGAAAGCAGACAATTCAGGCTGAGAAGAAGTTTGACTTCCTTCGAGACCTTGTGTCCAGCATTCCGGACCACCAGACTGAAGATGATGGTGGGGAGAACTCAGGGGCCGCTGAACCCAAGAAACCCAGAGGGCCGCGTGGGTGAGTATCTCTGTTGACCGTGAGAATTATACAGTGTAATGTATAGTTAGTAGGTCAGTGAAGTTCAACATTTTCAGGATTCGCTGTTTTACTTATTATGCTGAAGCCAAAAAGTCCAACTAAAGCATATATTTATAAACTTTCATAGAAAAGTCATACACAGTTGGACAAAACAAGTAATATTAACAATGTCACATTTCTTTGCACATTTCAGTCTGTTTAAGAACCAACAAAACATGGGGGGTTGGTGTGTGTGTGTTATATGACTTTGGCTTCTTGTTATTATTTTGACATGAAATTATTATGACAATTGTAGTCAGGTTTGACAGAAGTTTACTCAATACACCCACACTGAATACAAAGCCTCATGACATGTGGGTTCTTTTGAATTTCAGTTGATGTGTGTCGTCATCATATCATGACCACATAGTCATAATCATTCACTTACAGGTTGCCGTTGTGTACCATTAGATGGAATTTCACATGCTGAGTACAACATTAAATAACAAAACCAATATCATGAGGCATAATCATCAATTGATACATGCTAAGGTTTTTGTGTACATATCACAGTTTGTTGTTTAACCCTGCACTCAGCATTGTTTTACCGATAGGACGACAATCTGTAAATACTCGATTGTGGGCCAGACAATCCAGGGATTGACAACATGAATATGAGATGAAGACATTGTTGACTTACGTGTGTAGTTATGGATTCTTTCAATGTGACAGTTGGTGTTTGTACCCTTGTTTATCAAGTACGAGAAAAGCAAATGGGAACGACATGTCTACCCTGTCTTTACTGATGCTGAAGCTTTTAAATGCCACTTAAGGATGTTATGTGTCAAAATTCTAAATCAAGCCATTATCATAGTTATCTTTGTGATTACCACCTATTTCTTTTTCTTATTTACAGACCCCGGAAGCCCAGAGATGGCACTAGCGCAAGGAAGAGGACAGGGAGAAAGTCATCATCAGAAAGTTCGGAACCTAATGTGAGTTGATCAATATCATTGTAGTCATTGACACAGGTATGGTAATAATTTTGGATTTGTTTATCCAACTGATTGAATAAGGTAACGGTACACAGGTACCATGGTTATGAGCATGGAACTGACACTACATGAATGTGATGAATTGAATGTACATGATGTGGTCTTCATCATCTTCATTGTGTGTCCTTGATAGTAACAATGAATTCTAATCTCATTAAAATGTGATAACTGATATCTTACAGCCTTTCAATATCTCTGTCAAGACAAGATTCCTGAATAAGTTGCATGAGGAAAAGTTTCTAAATCCTCAGTACAAAATAGTAAATTATTCACATTCATCTCATATTTGATTTAGATACTAAAAAGCAAACCCACATGAGTAGATCCACGCTAGGTTGTGGACAGATTACATCTTAGTTTCAGCTGCACTTTTCAATCAATGACTAACTATTTTCAGCTGTGGTTTCATTTTTCCAAAGCTAAACATTTGTAAAGTTGTCCTTTGAACATTGTTCAAGGCTGCATGTTTGCCACTGAAATGTGTTAGAAAGATGACATCTGTTTGCCTCAAAGGCCCACACTTCCTCAAAGTAAGGTTTGGGTTCATGAGATTATCAAAATGTTAGATCTCAACATGTGAGTTATTGAAACAGAATGAAAGATGTGATTTTTATGAGACTGGATGAATTCAAATCTCTGTGATGTTTTTACCATTGTGACACAGTCAGTACTCAATAAGTTATTAAACAATGAACATGAGGAATGAGGATATTGCATCTCAATGGTTTAAATCTCCTTAACTGACAGGCAAATGAGGATGACGAGGAAACAGAAACCGATGAGGAGGAGAACAATGGGACATCAGCACCCCCAACCCCTGTGATGACCTCCCCCTCTACCAGCCAGCAGCTGAATTCACCCCCAACAGCTCACATCCCAGCGCCACACATCCCCCCACATGTGCAGTCACTCCCACCACAGATGCCTTTCAACAGGTAGGTGCTCCCCCAATCTCTGTGATGATCTCTACCGCTTCCAGCCAGCAGCTGGAGTCACCCCCCTCCCTCCCCACAACTCTCATCACAGCACTACATATCCCCCCCACATGTGCACTCACTCTCATCACAGATGCCTTTCAACAGGTAGGTGCTCCCCCAATCTCTGTGATGATCTCTACCTCTTCCAACCAGCAGCTGGACTCGCCCCCCTCCCTCCCCCACAACTCTCATCACAGCACCACATATCCCCCACATGTGCACTCACTCTCATCACAGATGCCTTCCAACAGGTAACGGTAGGTGCTTTGTTCCCCCTGCCTGTGATGACACGTGATTCCCCCACCCCACCCCTCTACCAGCCAGCAGCTGAAGTCACCCCCTACAGCTCACTTCCCAACACCACACATCCCCCAACATGTGCAGTCACTTCCACCACAGATGCCTTTCAACAGGTAGGTGTTCTCCCTCTGCTGCCTCTCTCTCTCTCTCCTTCCCCCCACCCCCAGTGCAGTGGATTCCATTAGCATTGGTCCCTTGCAGTCATAAGTGATTTAATGTACTGGATGGTACAGACATGGAATAATGTCAAACATTTAAATAGAGATGGGAGGTTTTACCGGTTAACCGGTAAACCGTGTTTTTTTCGTTCTAATAAAACACTATTTACTCTTCACAAAAATATTTGTTAGCAAATTTGTGATCTCACTAGTGTTTCTTTATATGATATCTTTAAAATGCCACTATCCAATGTAGATTGAATGAAGAAAATACTCAAACGAAAAGTACTGGCAATGGCATTGATGATTAACAGATTTGTTGTCAACTTGTTGTTCAGTTTTGAAATTTTCAATTTCATATGGAAGTTTGTGAAGGATATCATCTCAGTTTACTATTCCTTTTTGTGGTGACTCGAGTGATGACTAGTGAAGAGTGCTTTTGCGAACTAAAACTTGCACTCCTAGTACTTTAATACCTGAAAAATGCTGAATTCAAGAATCTCATTGCTCAGCCATGAATCTTGTAATATTTCTAGTCAATGTGCTTTTTGTGAAGTCATTTCGTGATATTGTCAAGTTATGTTAGCTTAATGTCGTTGATTTATTGGAATTAACAAGATTGTTTATTTTGTTCATAATGTTTGAGTAGTTGAACTTGGCAGTGAGCTCAGTTTTGAAATTGTTAGATTTCATCTTGTTGTGGTAGTTTCCTGTTGTGATGACTGAAATTCACAGAATAAAAAAAAAGACTAAAACACTTCTGTATTTTTCATACTTGTTTATTATAGTTATGACATTACTTCATAGTCCAATTCATTCAAAATCATTAAACAATCGGATTCATTAGTTAGTAGGTACTGCAGCACAGTATACCATGGTAAATACTGTGGTACTTGAACAATAAACCTTGGTATACTGTAGTACTAAAGTTTTCGTGGTACCCAACCCTACATTTAAAGATCTTATTCTCCTGCCAAATATATTTCATAGTGAAACTCCAAAATACCTCTATTAAAGAGAAGTAATTTCATCCAACATGTGTAAATGAACACTCAGTATCTCGCAGATAATTATTTGATCTTACCAAATTCCTGTAATGACATTTGTTATTATGATTATTTTTTTTATATTTGGAAAACCACAAAAATTGTGAAACAAGGACTTCAAAATGAATTTGTGAATTGTACAAGTTGCCATTCAGGCTTTAGTAGCATGGGAATAATACTTTGTCCAGGTTTTGTTGACCCTTAGGATAAGCAGGCTTCCACTGTTTAAACAACCCACCCCAGGGCTCCTGGGAGAAATCTCCATCACTCTAGGGCACATATCTCAAACAGGTTCAGCTGCCCTGTATTGACCAAACATATACACATAAATCAAACAGGCTTGAAAAGGCTTTGAATTCGGGTTACTCATTTCAGGAGGTCTGAAATGTAACGAAACATTGACCATGTTGAAAATCCTTTAAACATTGTTATGTAACAACCTTGAACTGAGTTTACCTCCTGGCTTGTTTAGTGAAGTTTTAGGCATAGATGTTTCTATATATCATGAAGGGGGAAATCACATCATGTTTTAATTTTGAACTCTTGATTCTACTGTAAAACTTATAAGTTTTAAATACTTAAAAATCTTAATTTATATGCAGGGTTATAGTCATCTCTATAACTACCAACCCCCATCTCCCTATACCTTGTCCCATACTATCTAACCCCCACACAACCTGTGAAGATCCGGGGTAGAATAGGTCTTCAGCATCCCGTGCTTGCCACAAAAGGCGACTCTGCTTGTCGAAAGAGGCGACTAACGGGATCGGGTGGTCAGGCTTGCTGACTTGGTTGACACATGTCATCGGTTCCCAATTGCACAGGTTGATGCTCATGCGGTTGATCACTGGATTGTCTGGTCCAGATTCAATTATTTACAGACCGCCGCCATATAGCTGGAATATTGCTGAGTGCAGCGTAAAACTAAACTCACTCACTCACTCTAACCCCCACACACATCAGTGATACCTGTGCAGTGTAATGCTATTTGCTGTAAACATACCATGTCATGATGTCTATGATAAAATGGAAATCTACCTGCAACTGTTCCAAAATAGAAATGTCACTTTTTTGGTTTGGATTTTCAATTTTATGTCATTATGTTTACAACATAGTGTTATTTCAAGTAATTTTCAATCTGTTTCCTTGTAGATTTGAACAGCTGTTGCCCATAATATGGTATCAGTGGCCACTAGTTTTGAAACAAGACATTATTGAAAATGTGAAATATATGTTTAAAGGCTGTCTATGCACAATAACTTGGAGTTTCTTTACTTTCTTCGGGCAGTCAATTTATGGGCAAAAGGGGAACTAACTCTTACAGCCTTATTCTCCTTATGCATCAAGTCAGAGCTTGATTATTCTGCATTGTCAAAACTATGCATATCAGGGTCATGTTATGTTAAGGCCTTTACGTGTAGTGACATACGACATAGTGATGTCCTTGCTGAACTATGAAGTTGTAGAATTAATGCTTGCCAGGAGGTTCAAGACATTATTAATTTCTGTGTGAAAGCATGGGATGATGGGGGCAATCTAGTAGTAAGAGTATTTGCTTGTCACATCAAAGCCAGGTTTCAGATCCCAACATGGGCGCAAGGTGTGAAGCTACTTCTAGTGTCCCATCATATGTCTTTGTAAATGTCAGGGGTGTAAAATCTGACTCACTCTGTTAAAGCATGTGAGCTGTTATACCTGTAATGTTTTGCTCTGTGTCTTTACATTTATCCAAACTAGATTAAGGGCAGGGTGTAGTTGCCAGACACCTATAATATATAGTCAACCAGTCAGTTGTGATTGTTTTTGTTTCAGCATCCCGTATTCGATGCCCCCCATGTCTCAGGTCCCCAGTATGCCGTCGGTGTCGGGCATGTCATCCTCGTTGCCGCAGCAGAAAATAGTGGAGGACGATGACTATGATACTTGATTCCACACAACTGACATTAGTTAACCACAGTTAAGGACAGCAGCTAATGAGAAATATCCTGATCTCTTGTTTTAAAAACTGGCTGCTGAACTCTCCATGTTTTAATCCCCATGTTACATATGTTATTCATGGTTTTAATGTGGACATCTCTTTGTTATTGAATGTTCAGTGAAAATGTTGTACTTATAAAGTATAATATTATGACAGGCATTGTGTGTTAACATTTTATGTTTTTCACCATCTCTTATTTTGAACAGTGAATGTTCTGTGTATAATTAGTAAACCTGACTGTAGCCCATCAGCCTATTAAGCTGAGTTTGTTGCCGTTCTTTCAATAAGAAACCAAGAGGTCAAAAGGAAAAGCCCAGTTCATGAAAATAATTGGTAAGACTACAGAATACCGGATACCTTCCGCCATCTTTAAAGGCATGCGACTTTACTTAGGGTTAGGGTAAGGTTTAGGGTTAGGGTTAGGGTGACATGACACTAAACAATATGGCTGGTAGGTATCCAGTATTCTGTAGGTGTACCAAATAATTTGTGAAAAATATTGTTTAGTTGAAAATTGAAATTTGGAAATGGTTTGGTGAGTGTTAGATATCAACTGCCTGTAGTACATATTGCTTGTCAGTTCTATATGATAGCTCAACTATTTATTGATTGGTATCTAACGACTTTTCTGGAAGACAGCTCACTTGTATTTTCAGTTTTATTATTAGAGATTTGGAATATGCTTACTTGGTCACAAACTGTGCTGTTTACAATCATCATGTTGTTTATATATGCATTGTTAAGTGTACATACTAAAGTCAAACTTGTATTCTTCCACAGACTTGAATGATCACTGTACTGTCACAATGTTAAGAAGTTGTTGAGGTTTCATCATTGTTTAGCCTTTCAGTTATTGTTTAACAACCATGCGTCTTTAGATTGAGGTGATCTGTGGTGTGTGTCATCATACCCATCGGCATCACCAAGTTTGGCCACATAGTTACTCGCATCACTCTGGGCTTTCATCCCATGTTCTTTTGACCAACCATTTTATAATTTCATAGGGTCGGTGAGGTAGCCTAGTGGTTTAAGCATTCGCTTCATCACACCAAATACCCAAGTTCAATTCCCCACATGGGTAAAATGTGTGAAGCCCATTTCTGGTGTACCCCGCCGTGATATTGCTGAAATATTGCTAAAAGCGGCAGAAAACTGAACTCACCCACTCATCAATAAATTTACAATTATATTTAGAGTTATACGTTCACGAAATAATCGTAGCACTAACTCTGATACTCCAACATTACGGGGCTGTGGGGTAACCTAGTGGTTAAAGCGTTCGCTCGTCACGCCAAAGACCCAAGTTCGATTCCCCACATGGGTACAATTTGTGAAGCCCATTTCTCGTGCCCCCCACCGTGATATTGCTGAAATATTGCTAACAGCGGGATAAAACTCAACTCACTCACTCCCTCACCTATAATTTTATACCGCCATATACTAGTAGCTGGAATAGTGCTGAGTGCGGCGTAAAACTAAACTCACTCAGTTATAATTTTATAAATGAAGAACTGATCAAACTGGTGTTAGACTCAAATCACCAAGTCAGTCAAACTAAACTGTTTCAGAAAACAGTGGGGATCTATCGGTACATGCTCATCAAAACAGCACAAAGATTTGGAACTGGTTGTGATTATCTCCCAAGTGGTAAATGTCAGTTACCGTACCTTTCACTCATTACCTTCCTCTGACGTTACTCTGGCTGTCTGTGAAATATTCATTCACTGACATAATGTTTTGGGCAGCTTGCCCTCCGACTTACGAATTTGATCTTTGTGTCAGGGATGTAGTTCTTCACATCACTCTTCCTAATGCTTGAGGTGTCACAGTACGAGAAATTAAATATTAATCGTCAAATGATAATTATAAAGAAAACTTTTGTCAAGGTTGCTTAAAAGTAATTTCTTGTTTCATACACAGAATTTTTTCAAACTTGTTAGCAACCATAGTGACAAAGTCTAGACAAAGCTAACGGACAAAGCCAGTCATTACCATTGCCAACTTTGCTTGTGTGAGATCCATGAAAACGTCACAGTGCTTTGCAGATCTTTGCAACATAATTGGTTCCCATAGAGTCAGTGACGTAGCCAAGTGGCTAAAGCATTCGCTTGTCACGCCGAAGACCCGGATTATATTCCCCACATGGGTATAATGTGTGAAGCCCATTTCTGGTATCCCCGTCGTGATATTGCTTGAATATTGCTAAAAGTGGCGTAAAATGCAACTCAATCACTCATAGTCAGTCACAGAATCTGGTTATCTGAACATTTTACACAATTTATTGTTAATGTTAACAACCTGAAAATATTTGAGGAAGAAGAAAAATCTTACCCTGGAGTCTTTTAATGACAAATATATCAACGCTTGTTGACATACCTGTATGTTTAAAACCTTCATTGCTAAGTCTCAAGAGTTTTAAGCTTTTATTGTGTCGTGTCAGAAGACTCTCAGGTGAGATTCTTTTTGTATTGACTGCCCCAGAAACATTTGTGTGTGCTCTAGATGTTATATTTGGAGTGACACTTTTCTCAGCAAGGTACAGGTTGTAGTACTTTGGTTAGTTTGACTCCCATCCAGGATTTGAACCCACACTCTGAGAGTCAGGCACTTAATCGCTGGTGCGGTCTAACCCACTCAGCTTCTGTGACTGATAAGATGCTTGACTGTGAGTGAGGTTTGTGAAAATGTTATCCCAAATATAACATATCTTCCAGAAACCTAATCATGGATTTGAATCCTGGATTTAATAGGTGCTTTAACCTTGACATGATGTAGGTGCTTGACTGTAGATACAGAATTGATCTCTGTTTGAAACATTTCTATATACATCTGTATCTCCTGAGAAGCTGTTACAAGGATTGTGCATGTTTCAAAAGGTGGGTCATTTAATACAGAGAAGTTGTGGACAGGATGGTGAAATAACTGTAGTCATGAATGCATTACAAAACATGCCCTTTGGCACTGTTTGAGTCTTTAAAAACAATATTTTTCATCAAATTCCAAAGAATGAGGAAATGTATGGTATGTGGTGTTTAACCATTACCATTGCAGCGGATGTATTTGTTGATTGTTGGGATGTGTAACTGTAGCGTACAGAGGGTGGTGTGAGCTACAGTTTATAGGCTACATCTACTGTTCTTGCATCTACATCATCTTCCTCCAGTCTTGCAGATTATTGTATCGTTTTGTTACTTTGTATGATGTTGTTAAGATCATCACCAGATTAAAACTGTCAGTCTTTGCACAAAGTTATTAGTGACAATTTCACTTCATGTGCTTTTAAGACCAACTTTTCTTATTACTGGGATCAGTGATTCTATATGACCCTCTTTTTATGTTTATGAGGGGTATAATTAATCCCAGTACAAATTCTGTTGACTTGATCCAAAAATGATTGTAAACACCAGAGCCCTGTTCAACAAAGAAATCTTAGCTCTAAGGTTATTTTAAAGATCATACTTAAATGTCATTCTTAAACTTATGACATCATAGTGCTAAGAACTGGGCATAGGTTTGTCATTGGCAAAATATACTTGTTTCTGTTTCTTTTTCATTTGGGGCGGTGGGGTAGTCTAGTTTTTAAAGCGTTGGCTCGTCACGCCAAAGATGTGGGTTTGATTCCCCACATGGGTACAATGTGTGAAGCCCATTTCTGGTGTCCCACTGCTGTGATATTGCTAAAGGTGGCGTAAAACTAAACTCACTTTTTCATTTGCAAGCAGTGATCGAAATAATTTTCAAACTCAACCAGACAGTCGGGCAGGTGACCAATAAATGTTGCCTGCCCATCTTGAAAGTTGCCTGCCTGCAATTTTGACTCATAGATTGCATTTTTTACAAAAACAAACAAGTATCATTGTTTCAAATGTGAATTAATTTAGCAAATTGAATACAACAAGCATGAAATTAAATACTCAGTCACATCCCCAGCCTGTGACATTTGAAAAGAGCCTGTTAAACTTGCAATTCCACTTATTGGTTTACATCATCAAAATTATGTATTTTCTGAAAAAGTTTAATAGCAAAACGTTTACAGCAATACCCATCTCAAATATATCTTCTCCCTTGTTGTACATACAAAGCTTCCAAAAGGGAGGTATTTAAATATATCAGCCAGACAATGGGGCTGGTGGAGATTTTTTTCAGGCAGCCCGACACGAAAGTTGCCAGCCTCGGGCAGGCAGGCAGGCCATTATTTCGATCACTGTTTGCAAGGACCACCTGAATAAGTATGATGAAAGTAACTAGAAAAAAGTGGAGAGTAATGTTGAGTGACATACACAGTTTTTCTTTTTGTCTGTGCCATTTCTATATAAAAAAATCTAATGTACAAAGATAACATGGGAGTTTGTTAAGAGGAGTCAACCCATGCTCTTCATATGGCAACTGTGCTTTTTGTATAAGGGGTCAAAGTGGAATGCTAATCACTGGATTGTCCGGTCCAGAGTGGATTATTTGCAGACAGCTGTCAAATAGCTGGAATACAGCTTAGTGGAACTCCAAACAGTAAACAATAAAAGCTATAGTGTAGTGGCAAGATGGAAATTACTATGTTTTAACAGATTTAAATGTGTGTGCAAAAGGTGAAATTTATATGCAGTCAGAAACTGTTTGACTATCATTGATTCTTTTCCCATTCATTTCATTCTTAATCATTTTCCCTCTGATAGGGCAAACAGTATGTTAACATGAGTAAAACTCAACTCACTGTATCATTTAATGTGTATAAAAGTACTTGTATTTTATTCATTGATCATTGTAGTTAAGATGTTGTTGATGTGTACAGAGGGAGATGCAGATATGTCTGTATATAATTGTACAGGTAGCAGTCCGAGACAGAAATACATTCATGTTATTGCAACTACAATGAAGTGTTTGTTTTTACTGAGAACAGAAAGAGTTGTCTCCCTTGGTTGTCTGGATCCAGCACATTGCCTGTGTTCATTGGTTCCACAAGAGTAATACCAGTTACAAACTGGACCAGGTGGTAAGACTGTGGCCTGGTTGATAGCGTCATTCCCCAATATCATTGATTGTTGTTCAAAATATCCAGGTCATAGGAATGGACTATTGGTGATTGTGATACCAACAGTGTTCAAAGTGATGTTCAGAGAGTACTGCACCTTTGACCAGATTGACACAAATGTGCTTGAGACACATCTTCTGAAGGGGAAAATCAAGCTTTCTGTATGAGTGGTTGGTCTTGAGCTTTGACAGCTTGTGTATGGGGGTTCACTGGAGCCTATAGCTTGATAAGCACCCACCTGTGTGTGCTTGAGGTTTGATAACTTGAGGGGTGGGTGCATCGGTGGGTTTACTTGAGGCTTCAATAACCACCTGTATATATCATTGTGCTAGAGGCACCATTAGTGACAGTAGTGTTACTGGGCCCTTGATGACCATGTATGTGGCTGTAACAGAGCCACCATGACCATCTGTCTGTAATGCACTTTAGTCTTAATGGCTATGTGTGTGCAACTGTACTAGAGTCATGAAGACCATCTGTGACTGTGATTGTACTGCAGCCTTCTTGACCATCTGTGACCGACGGTACTGGAGCCTTCTTGACCATATGTGACCGATGGTACTGGAGCCTTCTTGACCATCTGTGTGTTGTACTGGAGCCTTCATGAGAGTGGTTGTGTCACCGTCGAGGACCAACTATGAGCTCGAACCGACATTGAGCACCATCTATAATGTTATGGAGACGCGTGGAGTATCGAAACCGCCCAATGTTTGACTATTGGTGCGTTATGTCGTTGCTTGTGTCTTTTTGCAGTATTAATCTAAACCGTGTTACATTACTTTATAGCGGAAAGTAAATTAATTTGTTTTCCTGAAAGAAATAATGCTGTGACTACTTAACATGGTAACGTAATTTTTGCCTTCATTTTGAATCCCTCAGGCCACCTTTCTTGCAGTTTTTCTAGTATGAACATGACTGTCTATTGGTCCCCGAACCATAATATTGTTCCTAGGCCAGCACTGACCGTAATGCAAACGATCAATATGAATCAAGTATAGTTTTCCTCAGGTTCTGAATCCACCACTCCCAGGGACCCCTTTTCAATTTAAATACAGCCCTTTTGAGGTATATATTTTCTGAGACCAAGCGTTACTCCAGCTGCTGACTCAGAGAACATACTCAGATGCTACTGCTAGGGCAGGATGGGCTTACCCTTTTCGTGAACACCGTGTGTCACCAATGATGTCCAGTGATCAAGTCACATAATGTTCACTTTATTTTGCCTTTTACGGTAAAATGGAATCTCGGTGGATAATCGAGGCCGGTTTATCTCTGCAAGATGGTGCTGCTGAAAGTTTAAGATTTCATTAAGAAGAACTACGTATTTGTTTGGTTAATAAAGGTAACATATCCTCTCTGCATATATGTTTCAGAATAATAACTGAGAAGAGTGAAACACGTCTTACAAGTTAGTATAATTTGAAACCCTAGCATCTGATTCGTTACAGCAAACCAGCAGTTCTACTGCCCGTCACTAAGGTGGCGTGCAAACAACTGTGTATAAAGGTCAGAATTATGTAAATACAATCAGGAACCGTTTCCCATCGCTTTTCCCGAACCCAATCATTTAAGGTTGAGTTGGCCATGTTGCCGGCGTGTCATTTGTACTTCATTTCATAGTACTGACAAGGCGTGTTGATGACAGCCACAACACGTCCAACTTGGCTCTTGTTATAAATATTTGAAGAAGTCATCCCCAAAAGTGCCAGAGCACGAAGGGGATCGTCTGATTTATTGATTTCCTGTGTAAAAGGTTTGCGGAAACCGCAGACGTGATACTTCTTAGTCGCCTTACTCAATGGCAGCAGCGATTGTGTCCATGAAATGTGACAACCGTGGGGGTGTTTTGTATAGAGACGCGCTATCGGCGTTCAATTTGGTCTTCTGAACGAACTGATATCGGAATCTTGTACAGATTAATGAGTTTCATTACGACACCATGTATATGTGGTAACGCATGCAGCCGGGAGATAATCTTGACAAACGGGCGACAGGGACAGCCTACTGCGTCGTAATCAGCCACATTACGTCACCGACATGGATACTGTAGTTGTGGTGTACGATTACACTGTACCCCTTAGACTGATGTATCCCTCCGCATTAAGTCAAGCATCTCCACCGATTTTATATCATTAAATGGCTAATTCTGTAGAGACTGTAGATACCAGTAGAGACTGCGATCGGAGTCTCTATTATACTGGTAGAATCTCCGATCCTACTAGTAGAGATTGTAATCGTAGTCTCTACTGGTTGAATCGGAGATTCTACCAGTACATTTTCCAATTCAACTGGTAGAAACTCCGATCCTACTAGTAGAGGCTGCAATCGTCTTCACCAGGTCATTACCCCATCTGCCATATCCCCACCTGGTCATTTCCCCACCTCTTTGGAAAGCAGTGTTTTTATAACTGACTGACTGACTGACTGACTGACTCAGTTTAGTTTTACGCCGCTTTTAGCAATATTCCAGCAATATCACGGCGGGGGAAACCAGAAATGAGCTTAACACATTGTGCCCATGTGGGGAATCGAACCCGGGTCTTCGGCGTGACGAGCGAACGCTTTAACCACTAGGCTACCCCACCGCCCCTGTTTTTATAACAATTACCGGTACTGATCATAAGGTTTGAAATACATCTGAATGGACTCCACTCAAAAAACAAACACAAAATACCTTACTCCAAAACAGACTGAACAAATAAAGTTAACAAGATAACAATAAATAAGTTCAATTATAACTGGCAAATAATAGGAAAACATTATCCCCACTTATTATACTTGCTTGCATAAGCTTGCACTTGCTTGCATAGGTTATTCCATATAATCGTAGTCTCCACCAGTAGAGACTACGATTGCAATCTCTTCTAGTAGGATCGGAGATTCTACCAGTAGAGACTCCGATCGCAATCTCTACTGGTAGCTCCGATTCTACCAGATCGCAGTCTCTACCCTGACATATACACCTGGAAAATGTACTTGTTGGGGGGGGGTGGGGGGTGTTTGTGTGTGTTTTGCCAAATGGTTAAAGCGTTGGCTCGGGTTCGAATCCCCACATGGGTACAATGTGTGAAGCCCATTTCTGGTGTCCCCCGCCGTGATGTTGCTGGAATATTGCTAAAAGCGGCATAAAACCAAACTCAGTCAGTCAGTCAGTGTTGGCTCGGCATGCAGTGATATTTCTCCAGGTATAATGAAAACGCAATATGCCAGTATGATTAACGTATTGCCTTGAATAAAAAATGTGTACTTGAATAAAAAATGAGAATAATTATCAAAGTACGTTTCACCTCAATGATTTTATGTTGGTTACAAAATGGTGTACAAACAGGAAAAACGTGCAGTTGAAACGTCAGGGGATACCTAGACAGTGCATGTATCCACACATGGGATGCATGTTCCGTATCTGGACAAGAATGAAAGTTACCAAACCAGGTAATAATGTCCGTATGGCGTGTGGCCATCACCCGCCGGGATGACTGACAGTACACCTATTCCTACTGAGTTCACCAGACGCTGTATCTGTGTCTGAGGTACTTGGTTGTTACAGACTAATGTGATACAGATGACTGTGGTGTAACACACCAAATACAAGAAAACGAACTGTGTCAAGACGTACTAGTTGTAGGTGTGATGCTCGGGTTATGCACAGGATGATTGGTCAAATTATTCTCAATATGGAACTATCTTTTATTACGCGTTCAAAGTCGTGATGGCTTTGAGCAAAGAGCGCAAGGGAAGTTTCAGTAGATTGTAATCGGCAGGGTCTTCACGACATTTGCCATCACTGCCTGTAACTATGGGAACTCTAGAGTCGGATTGTCCACAGTAACTCACGCTTGTCAGAAGAGCAGGATTTCACAGCGATTATCAGAAATATTCCAGACATTTCACGACGGGGGACAAACAAACCGATCTACCTAATTGCTGTCACATGGAGAATTGAACCCGCGTTAGAGGCGTGACGACCTGGGTTGTAACCACCCCACCGCCCCTTAAAATATGGACCGGACGGTGTGACCTCTCTGAACGTGTTATTGATTCTGTTTACCTTCTTCTTCGTCGATCACATCTGCAATTAATGCTCCCCCCTCGTTGATGCTAGGGAAGAAAATTATCCCCGTAACCTATACTTGTCATGAGATCCAAATACCATGATCGGGAGTAGAATGAAACCACATGAGCGTAACGTGCCGATACTGCAACCACTAGGCTACACAAACATTCACTTAAAAAGGATCGAGCGGTCATACTCTAAGTGTGTGTGTATGTGTGTGTGTGCGTGCGTGCGTGCGTGCGTGTGTATGTGTGTGCGTGTGCGTGTGTGTGTGTGTGTGTGTGCGCGTGCGTACACAGGTTCCCTGTGTCA